ATTCAGATGGTATTTGTAAAGATTAATTTCACTCCTCCAGCTCTCAGATATGCGGCAATACCGGTCTTCCTACTCAACTCTTCTCCATTTTCCTTTCTGGAACCCAATCTGGGTGAGCCTTGGGTCCCTTTTCGTCAAAGCTAATCCCTCCACTGGGCTCTGAGTCCTATTCTTTTTTATTGTTAAGTAGGCTCCACGTCCAACGTGGGGCTTGAACTCGGTGCCCTGGTACTCCTGGGTCCTATTCTCACAGCCTCCTCAGGGGCCTTTCCCATCAGTTACACTACCCACATCTCAAAAACAAAACTGGGTCCAACTTTAACTTTTCTCTTATCCATACATTTCTTCAAAGCATAATCTACTTCCACTCCACCAGACCAAACAACTTGAGAGCAAACCTGATGTGCTTGGCACATAGAGGGCATTCAGTAAATTGCCATATTCAGTAACTACTTTTCAGCTATAGTCAAATTTGCCTTCTAAATCATTTGACACCACTAACCCCACCTGCTCCTTTCATGGCTTCAAAAATATAATCTTCTTTGGTATCTTTCTATCCTTTGCGGATCTTCTTTCACCCTCCAGAAATTGCTTTGCCATACACACACACACACACACACACACACACACACACACACCTCTAAATGGATGGGCATGGAGGAGGGCACTTGTGGGGATGAGCACTGGGTGTTATATGGAAACCAATTCGACAATAAACTATTTGTAAAAAAAAAACAAACACAACAACTCTAAATGGATCATAGGCTTGAATGTAAAAGCTAAAACTACAAACCCATAAGAAAACAAAGGAGAAAATTTGCCACCTTGGGATAGGTAAATATTTTGTATAATAGAGAAAACATGAACCATAAAACAAACATTGCTAGGGACACCTGGGTAGCTCAGTCGGATTAAGTGACTCTTGTTTTCTGCTCAGGTCATGATCTCACGATTGGTGAGTTTGAGTCCTGCTCTGAGCTCTGTGCTGACAGTGCAGGGCCTACTTGGAATTCTCTTTCTTTTTCTCTGCCCCTTCTGTTCTCTCTCAAAAGAGGTAAACAAACTTAAAAAAAATATATTGGTAAACTGGATGTTTTCAAAATTAAAGCTTTTACTCTTCAAAAGTCACAGTTAAAATGAAACAAGCCACAAAATTAAATATTCAAATACCTATATTTGGCCAAATACTTATATCCAGAATACATAAAGACAACTTACAACTCAATTATAAAAAGACAACCCTATTAAAAGCCAGGCAGCAAATTTTAACAAACTCTTAACCAAAGATATACAAATGGACAAGAAGCACAGGAACATCATTAGTCAAAACAGAAATGCAAATTAAAACCACAAAAAAGACACCATTACACACCTATTAGAATGGCTAGATTTACATGAATACCAAGAGATGTGAGGATTTGGAACAATCAGACCTATTACTTGTGGGAACATAAAATGTCACAATGTCTTTGCAATACTGGCAGTTTCTTAAACAGTTTAACATACACCTATTGTATGACTCAGATATTCCATTCTTATTTATCCAAAAGAAATGAAAACATCCACATAGACATGTATATTGTGTTCACAGAGCTTTATGCATAAGAGCCAAAAAAGGGAAACAATCCAAATCGATATCAACTAGTGAATGTATAAATGAAATGTGGTATCAAAATAAATGAAAAGGAACTACTCAGCAAATAAACAGGAACTACTGAAACATGCAGCTATGTGGTGAGTCTTAAATGGATTCTGCTAAGTGAAAGAAGCTAGACACAAACAATACCAGACAAAATTTTAGAAGCAAACTAATCTACAGTGGGACAAAGCTGACCAGTAGTTGCCTAAGGAAATCTTTGGGGGTGATGGAGATGTTCTATATGGTGGTGGCGGTTTCATGAGTGTACACCTGTCAAAACTCATTGAACTGTATGCTTTAAATGGGTGCAGTCATTGTAAATTATACCTCAATCAGGTTGCTAAAAACAAAACAAAAACATTGATATTTTGTTCAAAGCTCGCTTCTCTTCTCATCCTGAGCAACTTTATTCATGTTATTTGTTAATGACTGAAATCTCCAAATTCTCCTGAAAGTAAATTTGTATGAATTACTGCCCACCTGCTAGACATTCTGCTTTATCTCACAAGCTGCTCAAAATGAATGCCCAGAACTGAATTTATCAGTGCTAGGAAAGAACTCTTTCCTTCCTTTTCTGTAATTCAAAGAATGATTGACATGAAACCTGAACTCAGACTCTTGCCTGATATCCCATTTGTCACCTCTGTCTGAACACCTGCCTCTTTCAGGCCTCACCTGGATTCCAGCTTCCTCCCATCCATCCTGCCACTCTCTAGTGTGTGAAAAAAAACTCTAACTGATCCTTTCCCCTGCTTAAACTGTCAAGAGGCTTTCCTTGCCTTGAAGAGGGATTTCAGAGTCCTTATTAGGCACATTGGCTCCATGCTTCCTTGCTCAGGATGGCTGCTTTCCATACAATACTACTCCCCACCTCCATGTTCTCTCTGGAAACAGCCACCGGTACCCAGAGGTGGCACCTGCATGGCCATGTCTTCAATACTGTCACCCAATGGTGCCACCTCACGTCAGGACCTAAATTCATTGTCACTGAAGAGAACACGAGAGCAAGGTGGGTCTCCACATTCTACCTTCTGTTAATTTGAAATGGAAAGGACCAAAGTGGAACAGGTTAAACCTTAATCTGTATATGTAGTTTTCTGTACCCTTTTATATGATATATCTCAATTAAAAATTATTTCCAAAAAGTAAGAAAAATATTCTATGGAAAAGGTGCATAAAATAAAAACCCTGGGCATTTAAAATGTAAGTGTTGGGGCACCTGGCTGGGTCAGCTGGAAGAGCATCCAATTCTTGGTCTTGGAGTTAGTTGTGGGTTCAAGCCCCACATTGGATGTAGAGATTACTTAAATAAACTTTAAAAAATGAAATGAAATAAAATGTGTTAAACACCTTAAGATAGGTAACGCTCCCAGAACACACACCAAAGGCAAAAGGCAATAATATAATTTCAAAATATAAAGAAGAATCAGTCTAGATGGTCCAACATTCAATTAATAGTTTTCCAGCTTTGCTTTTCTACATAGCACTGAGTACCTTTTAATAAATTATATAATTTAGTTCCATTTTTAAAAAAATTGTTGGTCTTCCCTAACCAGAACATAAGCTCCACAAAAGCAGAAATTTTTGGTTTTTTGCTACATTCTCAGTGCCTGTAAGACACTCCATACATAGCAAATACTGAACAATTATTTATTGAGTGAATGAAAAAATAGCTCTAAAGTTCTGAGAGAAAATTATTTTGGACCTAGAACTTTACACTTAGCAAAGCTATCAAGTATGAAGACAGAATAGATTCAGTCAATTATCTCCCATGTAATTTTTTATAGAAGATAGCAAATGACTTATGGAATAAAGAGTAGAACTAGTCCAGGAGTCCAGACAAAAGAAATTCCTGGATGGGTGTTGTTGTAGCAATTGGCCTGTGATTAAAGGGAAGATCAGTGACCTTCAAAGAAGAATGGACTCCATTCAGTAGAATAAGAAATTTGAATTTCTGAATAAATAGAAAACAAAATCTTCATCAAAACAAAAAATTAGAAACTCTAGGGAAAACAACATTATAAGAAGTCATGATGTGAAAAGGAAGCAAACCAACCCATGGGGTGCAAGAATGTGAACACAGTGACTGATTTTGTCACTGGACAGGTTTTCCTTCAAGTTGTAGAAGGGCTGAGGCAGCAAATCCCTGGAGAAACATGTAATACCACCTGACCGAACATGGACAATGTTTATATTATCACAACTGTGTAAATGGTATTTATTAGTTTTCAACTTACAGAATGAACTTTCAGACAAAAGACATAACTATGGTTATAGGTCAGAACTAAATTTTACCAACTTTGATAAATAGAAAAATAAAGGTGTATCTGATCAGAACTGGATGGTGGAGAAAGGCCTTACGTTCCTCATTCTGGAAAATGGTAATTGAGAGACATTGGCTAAAACTGATACAGCAACAACGATCTTGAAAGGAAAGGTTAAAATCAGTCACATCTGAACAGTATGTCTAGGCTCAGAGAGTGGAGGGAACTGTTATTTGTTACAAAACACCAGAGGATAAGTTTTGTTTCTTTTTTTTAAGACCATGCATATATTACTTTGCTTAAAAAACAGTGCCTGTTAAAGTTATTTTACTTGATGCCCAAGATAAACGTGCTATTACTTTGTTACAGTTATTTATGCCCATCAGTCACTCTTTAAAAAAAGAAATTTTTAATGTTTATTTATTTTTGAGAGAGAGAGAGCATAAGCAGGAGAGAGACAGAGAGAGAGGAAAACAGAATCTGAAGCAGGCTCCAGGCTCTGAGCTGTCAGCACAGAGCCTGGTGTGGGGCTCAAACCCACAACTTAACCCACAAGCTGAGAGATCATGACCTGAGCTGAAGTCGGATGCTTAATTGACTTGAGCCACCCAGGTGCACCTCCATCAGCCACTCTTTATGGCTACCTGGGTTGGGCTGGGCTGGGCTGTTTACATGTGAGTTAGGGACGGTGCACTCCAGACAACTCGGCCTTGAAAAAGTTTCACATATTTCAAGCTTTCCTTTGGTCTATTAACATTTAGACAGAAAATGATGATTAACTTCAGGAAATATCTCTTGGGGGAGTCACTTAAAATACACACATACACACATAGACACCTCAGGAAACCAAATTTGCATTAGCATTATTTTATCTAATGTACTTTAACTAGATTTATTTCCTTTCTGATCATTATGATTTTTATCTAAGTAAGTTGCCAAAATACATTACCTCTGATTTTATAGAAGTGAGAAATTAGGATACAAAAAGCATATAAACATCTACAAGTACCAAAACATTTATGACCTTACAATTTCATGTTGCAAGAAAAGGGGCACAAATAAGGAATACAAAATAAATTATAATCTAAAGAGTTACATACAATGCTTCCTTTGATTATTTATTAAAACTTACAAGGAAAGTGAAAGGAACGTTTTTAAGCCATTATAGGCAATTATGAACACAATCTGGCAATGCTCGGCTCACATCTCCAGCTTAACAAGCACTGGACACAGCCAGCTTCTTCAAATGATCCATGAACACCTGCAGGCTAACATCGTCAGTTAGGATGGGTGCTCCTGTTTCCTGAAATTTAATGGTAAAGATTTATTGGCAGGTATCTCAAAAACTAGTTAGAATTCATCAATTATTAAGGACCTTCCCACCTCAGAACATTCACAGTGCTCCCCCCTCTGCTGGGAGTACGCCCTCTTCTTCACTAACCAGTCTTTCAACTGAAGCATAATTTCCTCACAAAACCCTTCTCTGAGCCACTGAGTTCAGGCCATCCCTGCCACTAAAGACATCTCTGGGCATATGCCCTTCTACTTTAATCCTCTCCATAGTTCTGATGACCTGTCCAGAGTCTGACTCCTCATCAGGCATAAGCTCCTAGAGGCAGCACTCCGTGTCCCATCTTCCCCATCACACTAACAGCACCTAGCCCAGTGCTCTTTCATGCCCTGCTTACAAGAGAAGCTCAATGAGGGTGTATTTACAAATGAGTGGATCAGTGTGTCCACTGAATAACAGGTGGATATTTGTATTACCAGAAAATGCTCGTGATTTATGTAATGCTAAGGGAAAAGAACTGAATAGAAACTTTGGCTTCCAGTAAGATCCCAAACTTGTAAAAAATAAAAATACACATGATGTATATATGAAATGTGTACATCACTACCTACAAAGAAGCTAGAAATACTTAACTCTAGACAGTGGCATTAAAGGTAATGTTAATTTTCTTCCTTAATCTTTTCTTTAACATACTCAAATTTTCCAAAATGATACTACCATTATAATTAGGAAAATGTAAGCATAATTAAAGTTTTATAAGAAAACTTTTTCTAGGAATAAGGAGTAGATCTGATTTTCCCTATTCCTTCCACTATGTACAACTAAAAATCCATGGACACTTTATATAAAACAAACGTAAGAAGATTCTAAAAGGTGGAGAGAAGAGAGCAGACGAACCAAGGGCCCTGAGGCCCACAGAACAACACAGTGATGAGTTCCCTGGGTTTCCTTTTTGCCTCATATCTCAGACCTGGAGCTGAAGAGGCTAGCAAACAATCACTGCACACAGATAAAAACATCAGAAAAAAGCCAACTTTCTCCAGTTGAAGTACCAGCATAGCCTAGGAAGACAAAAAAAATGCTAGATAATAATGGCTGCACTCCAAAGGTGACAGAAGATACAGTGGCCCAAACCACACCAGCCTAGGCTGAGTGGGCACCTTAGACTGATACCTTCACAAGACAGCAACAAGGGACTTCAACATCCCCAGCAGGATGCTGGCAGAGAAGGTCAAGGATGGCACTGGGAATTTTATCCCCAATGGCCAGGGGGACATCTCCCTAGCCATGGTATCAGTAGAGACCATTCAGGGAGCCTATAATCCCCCCCTGCCTGGCAGTAATAAGATGTCCTCCATGTCCCCTGCACTGGGTATCAGAGGCAGCCTAGTGGAGAGTCAACACTTTTCATTACCACCTAACACAGATAAGGCCATATCCGCCCTGCGATTCATGGAGATGAGGTAGGGAGCTGGAATGTCCATCTGCGCCCAGCAGTAACAAGGAATTGTCCTTCACCCAGGTGTTAAGAGGCCAATGGAAAACCTGGTTTGCTTTAAGTGAATGAAAAACAGACAATCAGCAGGTATTAAGCTGCCTACAGTGTTAGAATGATCTGACAGAGACTTCAAAGCAGCCATGACAGAAATGCTTCAATTAGCAATTATGAGAACACTTGAAACAAAAAGTAGAAAAGCCTCAGCAAAGAAGGTCTCAAGAAAGCAGTAGACATAAACAAGAATCAAAGGAAAATTTTAGAACTGGGAAACACAGAAACAAATAAGCTCAGTGTATGAGCTCAATAGCAGAGAAGGAACAGAGAAAATAATCAGTGAACTGTACGATAAAATAGTAGGAATAATGCAATTGAAACAGAAAGAAAATAGGTGGGGAAAAAAATGTACAGGGCCCCAAGGATATGTGGACTGTGAAAGACCTGACATGTATGTCACTGGAGTCCCAGAGAAAAAGGAAAAAGAGGGTTGGCTGAAAAATTATTCAAAGAAATAATGACTGATAACTAACCAATTCTGGCAAGACAGATAAATATACAGAATCAAAAAGCAGAGCAGTCTAAACAGGCTAAATCTAAAGACATCCACACCAAACACATGGTACTTAAACTTCTGAAAACTAGTGTTAACAAAGAAGCAATTCTGAAAGCAGGCAGAGAAATATCTTACATATAGGGGAAAAACAATGAGAATGACAATTTCTCATTAGAAACCAGAGAGACCAAGAGACAGACAGCAAAATATTTTTCAGCTGGCTGAAGGAAAGGATGGCCACCAGAATTCTTTACCTAGAGAAAATGTCCTTCATGAATGAAGGAGAAATCAAGATTCTCAAATGAAAGAAAATTAACAGTCTATTACCATCAGACCTAAAAGAATGGCTAAAGGTGGAGTACCTGGATGGCTCAGTCGGTTGAGTGTCTTACTCTTGATTTCAGCTTGGGTCATGGTCCCAGGGTCATGGGATCAAGCCCCTGTTGGGTTCCATGCTGAGCATGGAGACTGCTTACAATTCTCACTCACTCTCAAAAAAAAAAAAAAAAAGAAGAAGAAGAAGAAAAAGAAGACAGAGAAGGGGAAAGAGGAGGAGGAGGAGGAGGAAGAAGAAAAATGGCTAAAGAAAGATCTCTAACCAAAAAGGAAATGATAAAAGAAGGAATCTGGGAGTATCAAGAAGGAATAAAGAGGGGCGCCTGGGTGGCTTAGTCGGTTAAGCGACCGACTTTCGCTTAGGTCATGATCTCGCGGTTCGTGGGTTCGGGCCCCGCGTTGGGCTCTGTGCTGACTGCCAGCTCAGAGCCTGGAGCCAATTTCAGAGTCTGTGTCTCCCTCTCTCTCTGACCCTCCCCTGCTCACGCTGTCTCTGTCTCTCTCCTAGAAATAAATAAAACATTTAAAAAAAAAAAAAAAAGAAGGAATAAAGAACACAGTAAGCAAAAATATAGATAAATATAATTAGATTTGCATCTTCTCCTGAGATTTGTAAAATTATATTTTATGTTTGAAGAAAAACTGTAACACTAATGCAGAAATAATATTTGACAAAATTATAAATGGGGTAAAGAAACATAAATGGGAGTAAGTTTCCTATACATCACTTTAACTGGTCAAAAAGCCATCGGTAAACTATAATAATCTATGTATGTATAATGTAATATAATGCTCTACTATCTACAACCAGGAGTGACAACTAAGAAATGCTACACAAAAATATATACTCAAAAACATTATAAATGAATTAAATGGAATTCCAGGGGTACCTGGGTGGCTCAGTTGGTTGAACATCTGACTCTTGAGTTTGGCTCAGGTTACGATCCCAAGGTCATGGGATCAATCCCACACTGGGTTCTGTGCTGAGCATCCAGCCTGCTTAACATTCTCTTTCTCTCTCACTTTGGCCCATTATTCCCCTACTAGTGCTCTTTCTAAAACAAAATTTTTTTAAAAAAATGGAATTCTAAAAAATGTTCAAATCATCCACAGGAAGGCAAGAAAAACAGAGAAATGAAAACCAGAGAAAACAAAAAATAAAATAGACTTAAGCTCTAACATATCATTAATTACATTAAATATAAATGGTCCAAATGCACAAACTGTAAGAGTTTAACAGAGGAGATTAAAAACAACAACCCAACTATGTGCTGTTTATAAGAAATTCACTTCAAATATGAGAAAAGAAATAGGCTGAAAGTTAAAGAATGGTAAGAGATATAACATACAAATATCTTTTTGCGTGAAAAATAAAAGGAAAGCAAGAATGGGCTTTATTAATGTCAGACAGACATCACTGCAAATAAAATGGCCAGAGACAGAAAGAGACATTATATAATGATATAAAGTCAACCCACCAGAACATAGCAATCCTAAATGTCTATGCAACAAACAACAGAGCTACCAAATGTGTGAATGAAAACTGACAGAACTGAAAAAAGAAACAGATAAGCTCACAGTTAGATTTGAAACCTCTCCCAAAAACTGACAGAACAACTAGACAGATAATCAGCAGGGATATGTAAGAACTCATATCCTAACAGGATCTAAGAGACATTTACAGTACTCTCTATACAACAGAATACACATTCAAGTGACCATGAAATACACAGATCATGTGTGTGTACACACACACACACACACAAACACACCCCCCCCCCGCCGCAGACCATAAAGCAAATTTCAACAAATTTAAAATAACTGAAAACAAGGGCGCCTGAGTGGCTCAGTCGGTTAAATGTCCAACTCTTAATTTCAGCTCAAGTCATGCTAACAGTGCAGAGCATACTTGGGATTCTCTCTCCCTTTCTCTGCTCCTCCACAGCTCGTGTGCTCACTTCCTCTCTCTCTCTCTCTCAAAATAAATAAACTTAAAAAAAATAGTTGAAATCATACAAGGTATATACTCTAACAACAATGGAATCAAAACAAAAATCAATAACCTACAAATAATAAGATAATCTCTAAATACTTGGAAACTAAGTAATACATTTTTTTTTTAAATTTAGGGTGATGCTCACTTTTTTTTTTTTAAGTTTCTTTCTCTTGAGAGAGAGAAAGAGCACAAGCAAGTGGGGGAAGGACACAGAGAGAGGAAGAGCAAGAATCCCAAGTAAGCTCTGTGCTGTCACTGCAGAGCCCGACGCAGGGCTCAAACTCACAAACCATGAGATCATTACCTGAGCCAAAAAAATCAAGAGTCAGATGCTTAACCAAATGACCTACCCAGGCGCCCCAACTAAGCAACACTTCTAAATAAATTTAAAGCAAGTACAAGAAAATACTGATTACAAACTCAACAAACTGAAAACAAAGACAACAAGATATGAAAAGGAGATCAAGGTATTCACAGAAAGGAAGAAATAAATTGTTTTTATTTGTAGATGACATGATTATCTATGTTGAAAATCTCAAACAATCTACAAAAAGCTACCAGAAGGAAAGTCACAGGATATAAGATAAAAATACAAAAATTAATTGTATTTCTATATACTAGCAATGAACACTGGGGCACTGAAATCAAAACTACAATACCATTCACATCACTAAAAAAAAAAAAAAAGTGAAAACATTCAACCTTAAAGAAAGAGAAAGAAATCAAAACAGAATGAAGAGACATACTGAGTTCATGGATTGGAAGGCTCAACATAGTAAAGATGTCAATTCTCCCCAAATTGATATAGAGAATTGATGTTATTCATTTTTAATGTTTATTTTTGATAGACAGCGTGAGTGGGGGAGGGGCAGAGAGAGAGACAGAGGCTCTGAAGCAGGCTATACACTGACAGTAATGCGGGGCTCAAACTCACAAACCGTGAGATCATGACCAGAGTTGAAGTCAGATGCTCTGCTGACTGAGCCACTGAGATGGCCCTGAATTGATGTAATTTTTATCAAAATCCCAGCAAGAGTTTTTAAAGACATAAATAAGATCATTCTCAAACTTTTATGTAAAAGCAAAGGAACTAGAATAGCTAAGACAATTTGAAAAAGAAGTAGAGAAACCAGTCTACCTGATTTTAAGACAAACAATACAGTTACAGTAATAAGACTGTAGTATTGGTAGAGGGATGAAAACACAGATCAACGTAACAGAGAAGAAAACCCAGAAACAGACTCAAACAAATATGACCAGCTAACCTTGGACAAAGATGCAAAAGTAATTCAATGGAAGCAAGACAGCCTTTTTGACAAATGGTTCTGGAGCAACTAGACATCCATACACAAAAAATAAAACTAAGTCTCACATTGTACATAAAAATTAACTCAAATGGATCACAGACAGAAATGTAAATATAAAATCAGACAAACACAGGACATCTTTGGAATCTAGGGCTAGGCACAGAGTTTTCCGAGTTGGCACCAAAAACATAATCCATAAAAGGAAACACTGATAAAAATGAACTTCCTAAAAATTAACCAGTTTTCCTCTGCAAAAGACCCTGTGAAGAGGATGAATAGACAAGCTACAAGTGAGAGATAATATTTACAAACCACATATTCAACAAAAGGCTAGCACATAGAGCACATAAAGAACTTAAAACTCAACAACAAAAAAGCCAATCCAATTATAAGATGGATAAAAGAGAGATTTCATTGAAGAAAACAGACAAATGGAAAAGTATATGAGAAGATGCTCAGCATGATTAGTCATCAAGAAAATGTAATTTATTATTTTATTTATTTTTTTAACTTTATTTTTGAGAGAGGGAGAATGGGCAGGAGGAGGGAGGGAGGGAGGGAGAGAGAGAGAGAGAGAGAGAGAGAGAGAGAATATCCAAGGCAGACTGTGAGAGAGAGAGAGAGAGAGAGAGAGAGAGAATATCCAAGGCAGACTGTGCACTAACCATAGCCAGCTAGATGCAGAGTTTGAACTCATGAACTGTGAGATCATGACCTGAGTCGAAGTCTGACGCCCAACCAACTGAGCCACTCAGGTGCTCCAAGAAAATGTAACTTAAAACCACAATGTTATACCACTATACACCTATTGGAATAACTAAAATCAAAATGATGACAGTGCCAAATGTTGACAAGGATGCAGAGAAACTGGATCACTCACACATTGCTAGTGAGGACGCAAAAGGAAGCAGTCTATCCAGAAAACAATACCGCAGTTACTTAGACTAACCACATGACTACCATACGACTGAGCAAATGTACTCCAGGGCATTTATCTCAGAGAAAGGAAGACTTATGTTCATAAGTAAAGCATACGTGAATATTTACAGCAGCTTTATTCCTAATAGCCAGCAACTGTGAACCCAGATGTCCTTCAGTGGGTGAATGATTAAGCAACTACAGTACATCTCTACCATGGAATACTACTTGGCAAGTAAAAAGGAACAAATTACTGATACATGCAATAACTTGGATGAATCTTTAGATAATCCTGTTGAGGGAAAAAAGCCAGTCCCCAAAGGTCATGCACCATGTGATTTCACATACATAACATTCTTGATGACAAAATCACAGAAGTGGAGCACACAGCAGCAGTGGCCAGGTGTCAAGAAAGGGGTGGTGGCAGAAGGGAAGTGAGAGTGACTGTACAAGGGCAAATGAGAGATCCCTGTGGTGATGGAAGTGTGCATCTGGACCATATCTACGTCAGTACCCTGGCCATGACACTGCATTATGCTTGTACAAGATGTTCCTACTGCAGAACACGAGGTAAAGAGCACAGAGAATGTCTCCGCATAATTTCCCACACCTGCTTGTAAATTTACAATTACCTCAAAAGAAAGTTTAACTTTAAACAGTGTAACAAAATGGAGGGAAAGAAAAGACTTATTTGAGAAAGACATAAATGTTAGGAATAATTAGATACAGAAGGAATCAGAGGCTAGAAAGTGAGGAGGAGGCAGAGCCAGTGGTAAGCAGGAGTAGATGTTTTTGCCCTGGACCCTTGAGGGAGGGGGGATGGAGGATGGAGGAGGGAAGAAGAGGGAGAGGGCTTGGGGAAAATGTTGCTGCATCTATGAGGAGAGCCAAATGCAGGTCACGCTACAGAGTTCTGTCCTCTGGCCGAATCTGTCATATTACCCTGTGTATTGCAGAAGGGAATCCACACCAGTGGCCCCTCCTGCCCCAGCTATGTTATTCAAAGTTTCCACTTACCCCACCCCCCCCCCAGCAAAATACATTAGGTAATTCTGTCTTTAAGGCCAAAAGGGATCCATTTGGTAACAAGTTTTTCAAAAAGACCTCCTCCCCTAGATACCTGACAATTTCTTACCTGTCCCCAAGCATACAGGTTATTGTGTGTCTGAGATGGATTCACTTTGGACAAAAGGAATCGGGCCTTTAAAAAAGCAAGACATTTAAAGATTACAATGGCATTAGTATTAGTGTAATAGTAACAAGTGTTTACAACATTTCTTTTGTTAAATTAGCATTTTTCTACCACATAGGAACCAATTTCTTTAATGTAAGCCAATAATCCCCATTTATAAGGGTTCCCGAAACATGAGGTATGTTTTATTTTGGCAACCCTCTACTTTTACGTTAACGTGTTTTTACCACTCATTTAAGAAGTCATATTTGGAAGTTTGGCTGAATGTCAATTTATGTCACCACATAAAATATTAGCTATGCCACTGGACTTATAGCCATGAAAATATGTCAGGAAACCAACAGAACATGAGAGCTGGAATTCACTTCACTTACCTGGCTGCCTCCGTGCTCTGTGTTAATGTAACGTGGCATTGGGAAGCGCGCCTGCAGAATCTCTTGAGCATCATCCAGTGGTGCCTGCAGAAGGTGCTTGAAGTTTTCGTACTCGGGCATGTCCTGGTAACCAGCTTTACGCCACTGGGCTATGGTCTGCACCAAAACAAACCAACCAAAACCATTGTGGAAACACCACAACAACAGTCTTCCTTGACACACTTGACACTCCCACCACCACTGAGAACATGTTTCCCATGAGGAAGTCTTACATCAAGAACGACGAGTTACAGAGAGGAGAGCAGAGCTGGGGAGTGTAAGTATGTGTAAGCAAAGAGGTGCAGCCAGGATACCCGCACCTACAGGTTCTCCCAGAAATGTCACAGCCATCAGTCACACCTCTTCCCTTTCTTTCTTTTTCATGTTTGTTTATTTTTGAGAGAGAGAGAGAGAGAGCAAGCAGGGGTGGGACAGAGGATCTGAAGCGGGCTCTGCACAGACAGCAGAGAGCCTGATGTGGGGCTTGAACTCAAGAACCATGAGATCATGACACCTGAGTTGAAGTCAGACACTTAACCAACTGAGCCACCCAGGCGCCCCACACCTTTCCTTTCTAACTGTACATACCAACTAGCTACAAACACCCAGGGAACAGCTGTCCCAAGGAGCTCCCTTCCTTTCCACGTCCACTGCCATCACTCGGTCCAGCCTCTCATGTCCTTACAGCTGGTAGGGAAAGGGATTTGTCGGATTCCTACGTAGAATCCATTCCCCCTTCTCTTTCCTCGGGGCACACTTCTACGCCCTTGTCTAGTGCCCTTGCCCAGTGCTTAGTGTCACACAGACTCATTCCCATCTCCCTGGGTCTCTGAGTTGGGATACTCTTAACTGGGGAGAGAACAGCTGCAAGAATCAGTGTGGGTGTTCATTAGGCAAGTTTATACAGGCAATAAACTTATCTCCCCACCTCAGCTAACACTGTGTCTCACCCTCTTTTATCCCCAAGAGCAATGCTCTAGAAAATGTCTTGCGTACACCGGAAATCAAGAAATATATGCTGACTGATTAATATATCTTTATAAGTAAACTGAAGTGCTTTCACATGTTATTTAGGGGACATTAAAAAAGAAAACAGTGAGAGGGAAATGGAATAAGAGGATGTAACAAGTGATCAATAGGTTTTAAAAACATAACTGTTCATCTGATACCAGAAAGAGGATTCTCTTTAGATGCTTCCTTCTGCAGCCTGCTCTCCCTTCTTCTCAGAGTTTCCAGTAACATTTTCCAGGTCTTAATTTTTTTTATTTACTGATTTTGAGAGAGAGAGAGCACGTGTGAGCAGTTCAAACAAGTGTGGGGGAAGGGCAGAGGAGAGAGACCATCCCAAGCAGACTCTGCACAGTCAGCACAGAGCCACCTCAGGGCCTGATCTCATAAACTGTGAGATCATGACCTGAGCCGAGATCAAGAGTCAGATGCTTAACCGACTGAGCCACCCAGGTGACCCTACCAGGTGTTAAGTGCTGACTGATTGGTGGCATGGAGGAAATGCCTATAACCTTGTTTGGGTCCAAGTATTCATCAGAACACCCACAACCAGCAGACTTGGGGCTTTTGGAGAGTGAGAACTATGTCATTATCTTTGTCTTTAGAACCCATTACTTGCATGCAAATGGAAGGTCCTCAATAAACATATGAACGAACAGGATGGGGGTTGTGGTCAGAAATGTCTGAGAGGGGTAAGCGGAAGGCCAGAAACCTAGTCATAATTACTGCCCCTATAGGAACCGGTGGGAACAACAATTGGTCACCCAAAGGCCCTTGGTCTAGGACCATTAGTGAACCCTATCGTCGGTGGGCAAGCAGCCAGCAGAGTGAGCATCAATATGCTGAAAACTATACAAATATGCATATTAATATCAGGAAACTAAGTCATTCTATTTATTTATTTATTTATTTATTTATTTCTAGGGGAGAGAGAGAGAGAGACAGCGTGAGCAGGGGAGGGTCAGAGAGAGAGGGAGTCACAGACTGAAACAGCCTCCAGGCTCTGAGCTGGCAGTCAGCACAGAGCCCGACGCAGGGCTCGAACCCATGAACCGCGAGATCATGACCTAAGCGAAAGTCGGACGCTTAACCGACTAAGCCACCCAAGCGCCCCTAAGTCATTCTAGTTATTAAGGGAATTCTGAAACACAATGTATACCTTTGCAGGACATCTGAAATCACATCTAACGTAAAGACACTAGGAAGTCATGTCAATCACTAGAACAATTTATTGACAGTAAGGAATGGACAGCCAGGAAAAGAATGTCAATGAACATAATGCTCACTGAAAGGATTTTCTTCAGAGGAGCCATTCCCTTTCTTAGGAAACCCCTTTGAGAAAGAAAGGGCTTCTCCCCTGAAAGCCATACACAGTCATCCTCGGGATCCACAGACCCATTGTAAGGGTAAGCATGCCACCGTTTTTAAAAAAATTTTATTTTTAAATAATCTCCACACCCATTGTGGCGCTCAAACTCACAACCCTAAGATCAAGAGTCGCACGCTCTACTGACTGAGCCAGCCAGGCGTCCCCCAAAGTTATTTTATCAAAGAAAAACCTTAGTCCCAAACTTACTGTTTACTAGTGACTCTCACGTAACTCTGAAAGGACAGCAGTGTGTGTGAAAAGTTGACTGAGGAAAAGTAAAGTGACCTTGCCTGACAATTCAAAAAGCAGTAAGTTATAGAGATTTACTTAGAGCAAATAAAATTAAAATTACCAAATATACAGATACCTGCCCCCCTCAGGGACCTGAAAAAAAATTTCATTCAATAGAATAAAAACTGCTATCCTCATAATAAACATGAGGACATGTTTATTGTTTTCTAAGCCCAAATTATTTCAAATGTTATCAAAACTTAAATTAATAAAAATAAAGCCAAAACAATAGTAAGGAAAGAAATTAACATCTTCTTACCTCACCAAGATAAATGACAATTTGGAAGAACGTATCCATCAGCAAAATTCTGTCAGCTAGAATGCTGCTGCTGTCCAAGAGCACGGGCTGAAGAAAGAGGGAGAGGGATGGCATTGGTCTTTCCCATTCCCACATGGCGACCACTCCAACCCACACCTGGGGGGTCCATTTAACAGCTACAAGGCTGCTTACAAAAGGCACCTGGCAGAGTGACTCTCCCTGTCTTTAAGGAAACTCCTGCTTTCTGCTCTCTGACTCAGCAGTTCTATGTATCAACTTTGTAGAAGAAACAGGCTCCGAATAATCCCTCACCAAGTAGGAAGAGAGATTAAGAACATTTTTTGCTCCAGGAACCAGAAACAATTCCAAACATTCTCAGTTCTGTGTTAGAAACATTCTCTCAAATCTACCACTGTAGATAACTGAGAACAGTGATGCCTATATGAAAAAGAACAGCTTTTAATACAAGTTTTAAAAGTTTACTACAAAATATATTTTATTATGATTTCTATCTCAGCAATAAAAGTAACATACTCATTAAGGAAAATTAGAAAATTTGTACCCAAGTACAACAAACGTTCATAATTTATTTTCACATAGTTTTTAATACTTGTATGCCAAAAAATACGTAATTTAGGAAAGTTTGTATTTTGATTTTTTTCTTATAACATCTTTTTAAAAATTTATTTTCTTAGTAACCTCTAAACCCAATGTGGGGCTTGAACTGACGATATCAAGATCAAGAATCACATGCTCTTCCAACTCAGCCAGCTGGGTGTCCCACCCTTTTTAAAAAAAATAATTTTATACTTATATTTTTTTCCCCTTTCTCTTCTTCTTCTTCCTTTATGCCCAACATGGAGCTCTAACTCACGACCCTGAGATAAAGAGTCACAAGTTCTATCGACTTAGCTAGCCAGTGCACCTTCATGTAACATTTCAATACTTTATCACATTGCATAAACTTTGTAAACATTTCTTATTTATTTTCCTACTATTAAACTCTTGGATTGTTTTCTAATCTTCCATTATAACAGTTCATTTTACTATTTCTTTGAACAAAGCTTCTTCTATATTTAGAAGGACTTCCTTCAGGCACAAGACAGATTTACTGGGTCAAAGTATATGAACACAGTAGGAAAAAAAGTACTCATACACTTTTGTAAGTTTTTTTAAACATGTAATCCTGCCTTCTACAGATAATAGCTTTCTTTATATACCCTATGACTTTTTCCTATGTGTATTTTTTAATTATCAGAAATAATGTTAAATTACTACAAAGACTCAAAGTTTTCTTTTTTTATAGCTTTGTTCTAAGAGTAAACTTGCTAGAAACAACCCATACTAGGTGATTCCAATTCTGAGAAAAGCGTTCACGTAAAACCTCACCTCTGGTGGCCCATGGAATGAATAGGAGTACAGAATGGGCTGGATCATGATGAGGGACTGGGTGAGGTCCTGCCGGGCAAAATGGTGTCTGTAATACGACGACTCGTCAGGACTGTTGTTAAACACTTGGAGAAATGGAGATCTTCTAAGATGGAACATGAACTGCATTTACATAAAAAAAAAAAAAAGAGAGAGAGAGAAAGAAAGAAAAAAGACAAATGCATACAGCTGTAACTTTCGTAGAAACCCAGATAGTGGACTTGCCTTAGGTCTCCAAAAGAGAAGCCAGATTTTAAGACAAAGGCTTCTATTTCATGTGAGCAGAAAGTACATGGTAGTACCAAGGAGAGGGGGAAGAGGGAAATGGGAAGCTGTTTAGTAGAGTTTCAGGTTTGTAGGATAAAAAATTCTGGAGATCTGTTGCATAACAATGTGAATATACTTGAAACTACTGAACTACATACTTAAAAACCATTAAGATATGGGGCGCCTGGGTAGCTCAGTCGGTTGAGTGTCTGATTTTGGCTCAGGTCATGATCTCACAGTACATGGGTTTGAGCCCCGCATCAGGCTCTGTGCTGACAGCTCGGAGCCTGGAGCCTGCTTCAGATTCTGTGTCTCCCTCCCTCTGACCCTTTCCACTTGCACTCTGCCTCTCTTCTCTCTCTCAGAAATAAATAAACATTAAAGAAATTAAAAAAGAAAAAAGAATGATTAAAAAGTCATTATGATGGTAAATTTTGAGTTTTCCACCAATTAGAAATAAACATTATTAAAATAAACATTATTAAAAAAAGAAATAAACATTATTTTTAAGAAACGGGAAGGGGCCCTGTGGGTATGTCAAAGCTTCCACATGTAAGGAGAAAGGCAAAGCAGCATTTATTTCTGGAGTCACTGGGCCAGGTTGCAGACAGAACACCTAGAGAAGCCACAGTGCAGTGGGGAAAAGGCACACTCAGGAAAGCCACAAAAGTTGTGATCACAATACAAGAAAGTACTAGTAGGATGGGATGAGAAAGGAGGGCAGCAGGAGGCTTCCCAGGCCACTGGGGTCTGAAAGACGTGCATGAGGCGGCCAGAGGGAGGGGACTCCTGCTGCAGGAGCAGCTAAGAGGGTGGAGAGCTCAGGACTCCCGCTGGTACGCTGGAGTGAGGGGTGTGTACAGGAGAGGGAAGGATAAGAGATGAGGCTAGAGAGGTGTGCTCTTTACCACAGGATCAGAAGGTGGATGACAGACTTAGCTCAATCTAAAGAGATGCCAGAACATGAAAATGTGCTGCACTGAGAAGTATAAAGCTTCCTGAGATTCCAAATATTAAACCACAGGCTCCTAAATAATAATCATGGCTGACATTCAATGCATCCTGTGTGCAAGGCACAAAGCAGTTGACAAAAACGACTTTATCCTTCCAGTAGGCCCACAAAATAGGTTCTCTTACTGTCCCTGGCTTACGGGAGAGCAAACTATGGTGGGCAACTTGCCCAAGGACACTTGCATTGAGGGGCAGAGCTGCTCTAATACAGGCATCTGGTCCCAGAGACTGAGCTTGGCCTCTAACCTAGTTGCCTCAACTGAAGGAATCTTAGAAACCACCTCATTCAATGGTGTTCAAACTGTGCTCTTAAGTCCTAGCAGATCCTTAGGGTTCGGGCTGGGGGGTGGTGAAGGGTGCTGTGGCAGCACCCTGTGGTTGAAGGTGGTGCATGGGCACAACCAGAGCAGCTGCAAGTCTATTTGCTTTATGTGCTGTCTTTTAAGGGGTCCTCTCGAAGAACGGATTCCACGGCTTTAAAGAGACTGCAAGCCACTTCTCCAGACCCATTCCCTCCTTCTAAAGGGGAAACCAACATCCAGGGGGTTCAGGACCCCATCCCAGATTGGCAGCAGCAGAGCCAGCGCTGGAACCCCACTCTGACTCTGGCAGGTCCAGGGCTCCTTCCCCAGTACTGTACAGCCTCAGCTGTTCCGGCACAGGGCCATGTGTCAGGGACCACAGAGCCCTGCCCTGGGTGGGGGGTCAAGTGAAGTGACCTCTAAGGTTCCCTTCTAATCCTAAGAGTCTAGGCTACACAAGTTCACGAATGAAACCCATGACTGCTTTCCAAATTAAGTAACTAAAAGAATAATACCTACCTGCATATCTAAGTGCTCACAAATTTAATGTTTCTTTTTTTTTTTTAAATTTCTGAGAGAGACAGCATGAGCAGGGGAGGGTCAGAGAGAGAGGGAGACACAGAATCTAAAGCAGGCTCCAGGCTCTGAGCTGTCAGCACAGAGCCTGACATGGGGCTTGAACCCACAAACTATGAGATCATGATCTGAGCTGAAGTCAGATGCCTAACTGACTGAGCCACCTAGGCGCCCCTCACAAATTTATTTAAAAATAGAAGTTTTCTACTTTCTACTTATTCCTCATTAGGACATCTCTGAGGGAAGGGAAGGGAAGGGAAGAAGTGCTGGGTTTGCCTCCTGTTCTGGAAAAAAGTCGCACTGCAAAGAGGCCACCTGGAGAGTCCTGGGCCCCAGCTGTGGAGCAGGCTCACATCCACCAAGCACTTAGTGGGCACCTGGCCCTGAGGTAAACACTCCATCCACCTCGGCCTATCATCCCCACAGCACCTACGGGGGCAAGTTCTAGTTTTCTCATTTACAGATGAGCATGGGGGTTCAGAAAGGTAAATGCACACATCCCAGACAGCGGCTTCATGCTCCCTCCTTCCCCTGTCTAATGGCTCCCAAGTGCCTGGTCCGGGCACAGAGCGGCTATTTACAGGAGCTGTTATTACTGCTGATTCACAGGTATGACGTAGCAGAGCCACTACAGATTTTTCATTAAATATCTGTCATTATTTCTGGCCCCATTTTGTTATATTCGTCTTCATTTGTGCTTCATTTTCTTGATTTGCTTCTGAAAAAGCTGCTAAATTTTTAATTTTACATATTAAGAGATTCTGTTGTGGCCTTCAGCAACAACCCTGTTTTGCCTTTTCATGGAAGTTTACATACTTCTCTTCTCCCTGCATATCATCTTTGTCCTCTGTAGGGCTGAGACACTGTCTCACAAAGACACAGAGAACTGAACAAGAGCAGAATAACCTTCATCACCTGTAGACAGAGTCTCAAAACACACCAAGTCTTCACTTTAGCCTGAGAACAGCGAGTCTTAGTTCTAAAAAAGAATTTTTTGAGAGAGAGAGAGAGAGAGAGAGAGAGAGCGCGCGCACTAGTGGGGTAGAGGGGCAGTAGGAGAGAGAAAGAGAATCTCAAACAGGGTTCACGCTCAATGCAGAGCCTGATTAAAAATAGGTTTTTTTGCAGCATGTTTGATTTTCATCACAATTTATTCTTCTGTAGTTATTAAAAAAAAACACCTATTACTTACCTGAGGATACAGAGAGAAGGAATCTGATAACCTAAAAGAAGTGGGGTCTTCTTTGTTATACTGTCCAAATTTCTGACACTGTGGAAAGAAAACAGCAAAAAGGGGGGGAAAAAAAAAAAGAGAGAGAGAGAAAAGCCAAGTTAGTGTCATCTGGAAAATGCCTACAGTAGACAGCTATGCTCTGATCTCAACTCCGGACTGAGAGTCCCAGACCAGCACTTCTCAAGCATGGCTGGGCAGACCCAGCACCCAGGGTGTTGTTAAACACAGACTGTGATTCGGCAGGTGTGTAAACATCCTGCATTTCTAACTGGCAACCTGGCAATGCTGCCGGAGGACTGCCCAGACCAGTCAGCAGCTCAGGGAGCTCTCTCAGGCACCTCTCCCATAGGTAAAAGCCCTGAAGTGTGCAGAAAACTGACAATGATAAATAAGCTTTGATGTTCTATCACTCTACAGCTCAGTTCTCCCTTTTTTCAAAAGAAATGTTCTGACCACTATTCTCTCTTCCATTCTTTATTCCCTCTTTGTTTTGCACCTCTCTTCTGGCCACTAGAGAACTGGACCTTCTGCCACTGAAGGAAAGCTCATCTCTGACAGTTACCCTCTCCTACCAAGTCTGATGACCTTGTATTGCTCTCAACTTCCTGGACTCCCCAGTACCACGAGCCAACCAGCTCCCTAAAACCTCGTGAAATTCTCCTCCACGTGCTAACACGGCACTTTCCTATCTCTCGTTCTCTCCAACTGATCCTTCTCTGTCTTGTTCCACAGCCCCTCATCTCCCTACCTCCTAACTGTGGGTTCCTTGGAGGCTAGGTCTTGGCCCCTGCTCCCATCCTCACTACTTCGACTACAAGTAACAGACCAACGTCATCTAAATCCACCCCCACATCCAGTGCTGCCTGTTAGAGGCACCCAAATGCAGGATGGCTTCTCTTGGATATATTTTTCACATGTGTAAAATAAACTGAACTATTTATTACATTAAAAAAAATTTCACCCCCCATCCCTTCTACCTCTTCCTCATCCTTGCAGTCACCCACACTTAAAACCTAAGTCAATGTCGATTTTTTTGTTTTTGATTCCATGAAGAGTTTGACCAAGTTTTATCAATTCTTCTTTCAGCATAGGTCCTGATTTCAAACCTTCCCTCCCCTCTAACTGTCCTACCACACCCTGGTCTCAGCTCCCTTGAACCTCCAGAACTGGTCTCCACTGGTCTCCATAACGGCAGTCTTTCACCCTCTAATTTATCTCATATGGTAATGGTAAATGTAAACACAAGCATCATGGTCACGGCACTCCCCTGCTTAGGACTCACACCTAAACAATCCCCCCCTGTATTGATGCAGTGACTTAACTTTAAAATCAAGGCATCCAATAGAATTGTTGAATCAATTATGTGGTGCACCTGAAGCTAAAATTACATTCTATGTCAACCACACTTCAGTAATAAAAATTAAAACAAATTCATAGAGGCGCCTGGGTAGCTCAGTTGGTTGAGCGTCCAACTCTCAATTTTGGCTCAGGTCACGATCACAGGGTTGTGGGATTGATCCTTGCATTGGGCTCTGCGCTAAGTGTGGGGTCTGCTTAAGATTCTCTCTTTCTCTCTGTCTCTCTCTCTCCCTCCCTCTCCCTCTCTCCCCTGCTCTCTCAAAAAATTTTTTTAAAAATAATAAATTCATAAATAAAATGAAGCATTCTACAATTAAGCAGCACCTTCACTGCTTTTCCCCACTGTACAACCTGGCCTCATGAGATCTCTCCTGGTCCCCAGCAAAAGCTCAAATGCACAGCCATGTCACACAGGCTTGTCCATGCTTGGCCCTGCCTTCTCATCTGTTACCCTACTCTTTTTAAGAACACTTGATTGAAGGCTCACTTTACCATGAAGCCTTTGCCAACTACTTGGACCTTCTGCTCAATTTTCAAATTGTGTTTCAAATGTTGACATTCCCAAAAAATGGTTCCATGGGACAGCCAGGGCACACATACAGCTAAATAAAATTAAATTAGGTGTTTGATCATGAACCTATGTTGTCAATTTCTATGTTAGTAAGACTACATCAATTACTGATTTACTGCTTTGTAGCTCCAAATTTACTCTTCTGCCTGGTGTAAAATGGGCTCAGGCCCTTTTAAGTATTTTTCCTGTGCCAGCTGGCATGATGTTAAGCTGTCAGTAGAGGGCACTGGAGGCAAGCATCTGTTTCAAGGTTCCAGGGTGCTCACTCAGCAGGAGTGCCTATGGCTTCCTCAGTGTTGAGCTTCTGGAGCCAGCAGCTAGCTACCCCTGTATACACTGTGTGCCTCTAGTAAGCCACTTCCTGGTGAAGAGCTCTCCTTGGCATCCCGAGGGTAGACTTTCATCCAGTTCCAGGAAGTGAATTTCTGTCAAGCTCTTCTGGCATGATACAAGAGTGACTTCCTTGCCATGAGGGATTCAGTGAGCCATGGCTGTGCCCTCCCACCTAGATCAGCCCTGGGAGGGAGTTCTTTCTTGGGGGCTCTACCTCAGCCTAGAAGTAATGGCTGCTGCATATTCACTCTTCCTACATTCTTCAGACTTCTCTTTGCTTCTTACTACCAGCTAATCCCTCACCATTCAAAACCTCTATTGTGAGTCCTTTTTTATTATTAAAAATTGTTTCTTAATGTTTACTCATTTTTTTGAGAGAGAGAGACACACACAGAGAGTGTGAGTGGGGGAGGGGTAGAGAGAGAGGGAGACACAGAATCTGAAGCAGGTTCCAGGCTCCGAGTTGTCAACACAGAGCCTGACGCAGGGCTTGAACTCACATGAACCATAAGATCATGACCTGAGTTGGAGCTGGACACTTAACCGACTGAGCTACCCAGGCATCCCTGTTTTTTTATTTTTTTATATTAAGTAGTTGCTCATCAATGAAATCAATTTTTAAAATTTTATTTATTTATTTTGAGAGAGAGAGAGCAGGGGATGGGCAGAGGGAGAGAGAATCCCAAGCAGGCTCCACGTTGTCAGCAAAGACCCCAATGTGGGGCTTCAACCCAAGAACCATGAGATCATGACCTGAGCAGAAATCAAGAGTCTGTCACTTAATCTTTGACCCACCCAGGAGCCCCAGTCTTTTTTTTCTTTTTTTAAGAGAGAGAGAGTGTGTGTGTATGTGCTGGTTAGGGACAGAGAGAGGGGAAACAGAATCTTAAGCAGGCTCCACGTTCCATATGGAGCCCGTCATGGGACCTGAGATTACGACCTGAGCCGAAATCAAGAGTCAGACACTCAACCGACTGAGCCACCCAGGGGCCCTGTGATAGTAATTTTTAAGTAAAACTTTCCTTGCTTAAATTACTGTGATAGATCTCTCCTGATTCCACCCAGAACAACACGAGGCGTCTCTACACTCACTGAGCCATGGATCCTTACTGCTGAAAAAAATCCCTTAGATCTGGAGAGAAAATATAGACCCACAGCATCCACAGAGACACATCTAAAACAACTCTTACAGTACACAGATTTGCATCTTTCTCCAAATGTCCTGTGCCTGTCATTCCTTCCTAACAGTAATGTAAGCCTTTGAGGGGAAAACGTATGTGCAAATGTGTTTGGTTTAAGGTAAGCAACACAAAGTTCTTGTTGACTGAATGTATGAAATGACAGGTTTAAGCACCAGATTTCTTTTTTTTTTTTTAATGTTTTTTTTTTTTTATTTATTTCTAGGAGAGAGAGAGAGAGAGACAGCGTGAGCAGGGGAGGGTCAGAGAGAGAGGGAGTCACAGACTGAAACAGGCTCCTGGCTCTGAGCTGGCAGTCAGCACAGAACCCGACGCGGGGCCCGAACCCACGAACCGCGAGATCATGACCTAAGCGAAAGTCGGACGCTTAACCGATAAGCCACCCAGGCGCCCCAGCACCAGCTTTCTTTTCTCAATGTAGAGCAGAGTCTAAGACTGAACCTGGTGCCACGGTGCCCAGCTTACCAGTCGTATGAGCTGTCGGTCCAGCCACCGGAGCACATCGGGCCCTTCCTCTGACTCTGCGCGGAACACCCCCAGCCGAGCCATCAAGACTGCCGCCGCCTCCTGGTCAAATGCTGCTTCTATGTGTCTCAGCTGGCTCTGCGCATCTGCCCAACTGACAATTTCAGAATGAGTGACGTGCTTACATTCAGGAGAGACCAGAAAGCCAGATTTCTGTTAAGACAAAGAAACCTAAGTCCTGTTACTTCGTGTAAGGCAACATAGATTCGAACTCCACTGTAAGGAATCAAAGGAATTTTACATACATTTCATTTGCCTTCATGTGATCTCTGAAGACTGTAAGTGCCGAGGAAAAATTATGGAGAACTTCTCAATGTTCTACAAGATATCATGAGAGTAGATACCCAAAAGGTACCTAAGTCTCCAGTTCCTTCCTCTAGGTCAATCTTGCAAAAATCTGTATGTCTACAAATATACTGGATGACTTTCCAGCATCATACCCAGGGCAGAAAGAATTAGCACATATAACAAAGTTTTCTAAACGAATAAAGACACTATGAACAAAACTGAAAGACAACAGACCAGAACCAGATATGAACAACAGACAATAATCATCCAAAATACATAGAGCCCCTGCAAATCAATGAACAAGAAAAAGAAACAGGTTTTACAAAATGGGCAGAGACGATCACAGAAAGAAATATATATAGCCGATAAACATGAAAAGTGCTCAATTCATTAATAAACAGAAAAATACATATAAAAGTGGCTACCTATATATTAGTATATTATATATATAGCTGCTCTATATTAGCATGTTAGAGATCAATAATATTCATTATTAATGAGAAGACAGGACTCTCCTTACCCTATTGGGGAGAATATGAATTAACTTCTTAGGATAATTTTGCAGGATACAAAATTCTACTTCTATGAAGTGGCTAGAAAGAAATACTCATATACACAAAGACATAAACACATGAATGCTGCACTGTTGGAAGGAAGGTAGGACCTGAAATTCCTCAAAGAGAGGAGTGGTACATCCCATCCAAACCATGCAATGCTGTGCAGCCATTACAGCGAGTGAGGAACTCACAGGTATTGATGTCAAAGATGTCCTTGACACGGTATTGAGAAAGTTTCTAAGTATACTAATATAAGAAGCCATACATGCATATAACACACATATACAATATACATAGAAATGGGACTGTGAAGATGAATACCAGTGTAGTCATAGCATCTCACCTCTGGGGAGAGTAGACAGAGACCCATTCTTTATACACTTATGAGCAGCTTGAATCTTTTACAAGGAGAATGTATTTATGGGTTACTTATCTGACGATAATGAAAATTAATTTTTAATGAACTTATTCTTACTGAAAGAGGATTCTTCTAGGCAAGTGACTACAGGCCTAACTAGGTTAGCCACCAATGTCTCTTCCTCCTTCTCCAATCAAATGAGCCAGTGAGACTGGTGAGAACTACTCAGCAGAATTATGAAGATAAACTAAGAGATGTTAAGTGATCTCTTCAAAGGAAAAGCACTGATGGCTCCAGAGAAAGGAAACCGGGATGCTCACTTTCGGGCAATGGTGGTCACGCGGATGCGCCTCTGGGTGCTGGAGTGTTGATACTGCGTGACAAACTGGATGGCGCCTCTGCCTCCTTGGGGGATCGGGGCGTTGTGCTGCGGGCAACAGGCCACACACCTGGTTACTGTCACAGGCATGACTCAAACACATATGGTCACAGAGCCCACTGTGCTCTTCCTAAAATGACTAACACAGTGGTGACAGCAAGGTTCTTGATGAGCTCTGAACGGTACATTTAAAATCTGGGCATTTCACTGTACATAACTTTTACCTCAAAAAAAAAAAAAAAGCCATATTCAAGTAAATATTAAACTCAAGAGGGGCGCCTGGGTGGCTTAGTTGGTTAAGCGTCCGACTTTCGCTTAGGTCATGATCTCGCGGTTCATGGGTTCGAGCCCCGTGTCGGGCTCTGTACTGACTGCCAGCTCAGAGCCTGGAGCCTATTTCAGAGTCCGGGACTCCCTCTCTCTCTGACCCTCCCCTGCTCACGCTGTCTCTCTCTCTCCTAGAAATAAATAAAACATTAAAAAAAAATTTTAATAAACTCAAGTTACTGATATGCATGCGAAGTGTTTAGGGATGAAAGACACAACAGGAATTTGTCTTAAAGCAAAGTAAAATACGGTAAAACGGGAACTAGAATCTATAGAACTATAGATTCTAAGTGGAAGGTGACAATACCTATAATTATACAGATATTCACTCTACAATTCTTTTCATTTTTCTGTACATTTGAATTTTTCTATTTTTTTTCTTTTTTAATGTCTTATTTATTTCTAAGAGAAAGAGAGACAGCGTGAGCAGGGGAGGGTCAGAGAGAGAGACACACACAAAATCCGAAGCAGGCTCCAGGCTCTGAGCTAGCGGCCAGCACAGAGCCCGACGTGGGGTTCGAACCCACGAACCGCAAGATTATGACCCAAGCCGAAGTCAGACACCCAACCGACTGAGACACCGAGGCGCTCCCATTTGAATTTTTCTAAATAAAATAATGAGGAAAAACTGACACACTCAAAAAAAATTCACCAACATTATGAAGGCTGGTAGAAAGCTATTCTTCTCCTAATGAACTTATCAGTTCAATAATTTAAGTGATGAAAGCAATCTGCTGTCTGACTCTGACCAAACCCTGAAAGGAAAAAAAGGGTCATGCCAGACAGGTATTAGACAAATACAAGCCCAAAGAAGCATTAGTCTGCAGAGAAAGAAGCCAGAGGTCACCAGTCTGTAATAAATCAGAAAACCTAGGGGTGCCTGGGTGGCTCAGTCAGGTAAGCATCTGACTCAATTTCAGCTTAGGTCATGATCTCACAGTTCATGAGATCAAGTCCCATGTTGGGCTCTGTGCTGATACTGCAGAGCATGCTTGGAATTCCTCTCTCTCTGTCCCTCTGCCACTCACACACGCACAATTCTCTCTCAAAATAAATGAACATTTAAAAATAAATAAATAAATCAGAAAATACAACACCAAGACATGAATACTCATAAACCCAACTCACTTGATTGACTACTTCAAAATAGATGCCGAGCGTAGATGTGGGATCCAGGCCACAAATTTTCCACTGACTTGTGCCACCAACACCAAGCTCCTGGGGTAAGAAAAGGAATTAAAAATAAAAACAAAAAAGCTACTATGGTTAATGCTGATGAAGAGCACTGACTCTAAGAATGGTAGGCTACTTAGAAGATCTCATCCCAAATGAAAATTTAAATTTAACTAAAAAAAGTACAATTAGAAGCCAGAATAAGGTTTAAGACTTATTACAGGACTCTAAAACTAAGTTTTTTATATTAGAACTTGGACCAATTTCCATTATATCACCAAGATAGCGCTTTTTCTCGACAGACAGACAGACACACACACACACACACACACACACTGTAATACTGAAGTTAGCTGAAATAATCAAGTCAGAGTTAGAATTATCTTGAAAGTTACCTTGAAAGTTTCACCTTTATTATTAGAACAGGAAATAGTTACAGAACATTAGTTATTAAATATAATTTTTAATCCAGTTCTTTTACCCAAAAGCTACATATAAATCTTTGTAAAAGAATTTAGATTTTAGTGGTGCGAAGGCTGCTTTTTATTGACTAGTTGAAGGACTCCCAATGATAAATGAAGTTCACTGAAATGTGAAGAGTGTTGCTGTTTTAAGCAGGACATCTACAAGAAAAGGCTGCAGGTGTCAAAAATACCTAGAATTGCCAACCAAGATCACTAGATTCTGCAATATACGCTCTTATCATTCAGTGACTATTACCCATTTTAACATGCTTCATCAAAATGCAGAATAGTGCTTTTATTTTTTTTTAACATTTATTTATTTTGAGAGACAGAGTGTGAGCAGAGGAGGGCAGAGAGAGAGGGAGACACAGAATCCAAAGCAGGCTCTAGGCTCCAAGCTGTCAGCCCAGAGCCTGATGCGGGGCTTGAACTCAGGAACGTGAGATCATGACCTGAGCTAAAGTCGGCCACCCAACCGACTGAGCCACCCAGGCGTCCCAGAATAGTGTTTCTATTTATTTATTTATTTATTTATATTTTTTATTTTTTTAAAATATTTTTATTATTTCTAGGAGAGAGAGAGAGATAGCTTGAGCAGTGGAGGGTCAGAGAGAGAGGGAGATACAGACTCTGAAATAGGCTCCAGGCTCTGAGCTGGCAGTCAGCACAGAGCCCGACGCGGGGCCCGAACCCACGAACTGCGAGATCATGACCTAAGCGAAAGTCGGACGCTTAACCGACTAAGCCACCCAGGCGCCCCCCAGAATAGTGTTTTTAAAAAGAAGTTTATTTGAGAGAGAACGAGCAGGGGAAGGGCAGAGAGAGAGAGGAAAAGAGAGAATGCCAAGCAGACTCTATGCTGTCAGTACAGAGCCTAATGTGGGGCTTGATCCCACAAACCATGAGATCATGACCTGAGTCAAAATCAAGAGTTGGATGCTTAACCAAGTGAGTCAACCAGGCACCGCCAGGATACTATACTTTTTAGGAAGTGATGTGAGTATGCATCGAGAGGGTCATATTTCTTTTGTACAACTCCAAATTGTACACTGCACCCAAATTGGACACTGCCAGGTGCATAAAGCTGATACCACTGTGGTCTCTATTAAGCCATGCCAGGAGCCTTCGTACCTGGCCAAAGAACCAGCAATCCCAGGAAAGAGACAGTCAGAGGGCGAAGGCTCCAGGCTCTGAGCTAGCTGTCAGCACAGAGCCCAACGTGGGGCTTGAACCCACGAGCCGTGAGATCATGACCTGAGCCGAAGTTGGACGCTTAACTGAGCCACCCAGGCGCCCTGCCAAGGGAACATTCTTAAGAGAAATCACAGAACAGCTCTAAGTGGAGAGAGGAGAGGACACTGTTTCATCAGTATTTCCAAAGCAAGTTGGTGAGATGGATGGATTTGTGCATGTTCACCTTCCCTTTTAGTGGTCTTTTCTAAAAGAAGCAGGGAACATCTGTTGGAAGGTGAAGGGCCACACCCAGGGAAAATGGCAAAGAAGTAAAAGAAAATTGCATGCCTCCCTTTCTTGGCTTACCAATCCCTTCTTCCAAATATTCCCATACCACAACTCAAGTTTTAATATATGCAACTTCTTAAAGTTTCAAATCAAGGGGTTCAGAGTATGCCACTGCAAAATATACCACTCTCACATAAGGATTATTTTAAGCTGAAAGTAGTTTGAAAAGGCTGAAAAACTCTCTGCCCTCCTATTAGGAAGGGTAGGATGATTCTCAATCATCAAAGACAATTCTAGATACTTATCAGCTCAGAGGTGGCACAAGACAAAACTATACAACAAACCTGCTGGACCAATAACCCTCCTTCTCTTCCATTACCTCCCCCCATCTATCTGCCTTTCCACACTGTGCCGGTCCTAGAGGCTCAAAGTGCCTTTCCTGTATCTTGTCATTTTTCTACAGATTTACCATTCTTTTGTTAAGATGCCACATAACCCAAATTCTAACCATCCCTCTGAGTTACTCATTACTGAGTCCATACATGCAACGTGTTAATGTGCAATGCATGTGTTAATTTTTTCTCTTATGAAACCTGTCCTTTGTTAGTCTTGTTTGCAGGGCCCCAGCCAATAAAATCAATATGCGTATACAAAAAGAATATTTTCCCTCTTCTATAAGCACCAATGCTTGAGTGGGCCACAAACCCTCCAGAGCCCCAGAAATACATTTTCTCACTGAAACACAAATTCCCTATGGAAGCATTTACCTTGAGTAACTATAAAGATAAAATCAGGATATCACCATTTGATAATCTCCAATAAAACATAATGATTTGAGTAACAATAATCAATGGACGTTAGCAAGCAAGATATTCTTATTGTGCTACAATCATGTTCAACAGATTTCTTGCTAACAACTAAAAGGAAATGTACCCTTATAAGAGAAAAATGTGGGGCAGCCATCCTCTTCACCACACAGTCTAACTAAGCACCACTAACACAGAGGACCTGATAGATATGCCTCTTGAAGAAACACACATGAGTTATAAGATTACTCAGGAACTGCGGTGGACAAAAAGGTCTAACCTGAATCTAATCACTAATCTAACTTCCCTTTCTTTCTTTTTTTTTTTTTTAACAAATAGTTTATTGTCAAGTTAGTTTCCATACCCAGTGCTCATCCCCACAAGTGCCCTCCTCCATGCCCATCTCCCCCCTCTCCCCCACACCCATCAGTCCTCAGTTTGTTCTCAGCATTCAAGTCTCTCACGGTTTGCCTCTCTCCCTCTCTGCCACGATTTCCCCCCTTCTTCTCCCCACGGTGCTCCGTTAAGTTCCTCCTAATCCTCCTATACGTGCAAATATATGGTATTTGTCCTTCTCTGCCTGACTTTCACTAATCTAACTTCCACTTTATAGAAAATACAGAGAGGAGAGAAACCCATTCACCTTGAGGGTGTTATGCTGAGTGAAATAAGTCAGGCAGAGAAGGACAGATACCATATGTTTGCATGTATAGGTGGATTAGGAGGAACTTAATGGAGGACCGGGGGGAGAAGGGGAAAAATAGTGGGGAAGATGGAGGGAGGCAAACCATGAGAGACTCTTAAATGCCTAGAACAAACTGAGGGCAGATGGGGGTGAGGGTGATGGGAAGGGGGGTAATGGGCATGGAGGAAGGCACTTGTGAGGATGAGCACTGGGTGTTATATGGAAACCAACTTGAAAATAAGCTATTTTTAAAAATTAATTAATTAAAAATAAATAAATAAATAAATAAAAAGAAATCTGTTCACTGCCATCTCAAGGAAACAAATATCCTGAAAATGTGCGGTACTCTACTGTAGAAGAGATGGACACTTGGCACTGTTTCTTCAACAAATCAATGTCATCAAACAAAACAAGCAAAAAACCCCAAAGAACAGGAAGACCATTCCAGATTTAAAAAGACTAAGGATATATAACACTAGATGCAATACTGGTGAGAGGGTGGAAAAAACAGCTACAAAGGGCATTTGGGGCAAATTTTGGGAAAGAACATGCTAGATACAGATGATATTAGCAAATCATTTTTTCTTAGGTTTGATATAATGTTGTGGTAGGAGAACATCCTTACTTTTAGAAGATGCACACTCAAAGACTAAGTGTCGTGACACTGCAACTTGTTTTCAAAGGTTTTGAAGAAGTATGATAAAGCGAATATGGCTGATAAGAACCAGATAGACAAAATAAATATTACAAAGATAGAGGACAGCAATTAAGGCAAAATGTTAACAATTACCAACTCTAAATGGTGGGTATACTTCTTTAACCTTCTCTGTATTTCGTCCCTCTTGGCATCCTCCACCCCGCTCCCAAAATCTCATAGCTGAATCTCTACTGGTTCCTAAAACAGCTAATGAGATTCATAAAGTTAACTTCATAAGCAGATTTTAAGTCTATGGAAAATATTTTGGAACAGGAAATATTCCAAACCCCTGCCAGGAATTAGGGGTATAAGTCCCCTTGTACACTGGGATGATGAGTGACTCCTCAGATGCCTTACCCAGGGAATTACAAGAATAGTCTCTCAAATCACTTTGCCTCTGGCAACTTCAACAAAAGGTTAACCAAAGTAGTCACTAAGTATTATACTAAGCGAAGTAAGTCTGGCAGAGGAAGACAAATGCCATATGATTTTACTCATATGTGAAATTTAGAGAACAAACTGAAGGTTGATGGAGAAAGGTGGGCAGGGGATGGGCTAAATAGGCAATGGGCATTAAGGAGGGCACTCGTGATGAGCATTGGGTGTGGTATGTAAGTGATGAATCACTAAATTCTACTCCTGAAACCAATATTGAGTTGTACATTAACTAACTAGAATTAAAAAAAAAAAAAAAAAAACTTGAAACAAAAATACAAAAAACAAAGTAGTCACTAAGTACACATTCACTGCTGATGAAGACAAAAGTGAGGATGTGAGGGGTGCCTGGGTGGTTCAGTCCATTAAGTGTCGAACTTTGGCTCAGATCATGATCTCATGGTTCATGGGTTCCAGCCCCACACTGGGCTCTGTGCTGACAGCTCAGAGCCTGGACTCTGCTTCAGATTCTGTGTCTCCTATGCTCTCCACTCCTCCCCTGATCATTCTCTCTCCCTCTCTATCTCAAAAATAAACAAAGAAAAATGAGGAAGAGAAAGATGGAAAAAAAAGATGAAATCTAGTGTGGGCCTCCCTCGTGCCAGGGGCTGTTCTGCACGTTTTACCTGAACTTACTCATTTAGCCCTCCCAACAGATAACGATTACTATGTCCGCTTCCTAGATAACAACGTTGAGTCCCAGAGCGATTAAGTACCTCATCCAGGCCACAAGACTAGCAGGGTAGATGTGTGCCCTTGTATCATGTCTGGCTCTAGAGTCCAGTGTGTCCTCATTGAAGAGGACAACCAAGGAAGGATATAATTGTCACAACTCCAGCGAAGAACCACCCTGGAGAGGCCTCACTGGACCCAATGGTCTGTCTCCCGGCAGCTAAAGTATAAGCAGAGGAAATGAGCCACCAGCAAAGTCACCTCACCATCTAGTGGTAACTTAACTTTGTTCACATATTCTCAAAGCATGTTACCCAAAGAACATAGCTGTGTACATATAACAACAGTGTCATTCATGCCCAACCAACTCAAAATGGTCTCTGAACAGTGAGACAAAGGTATCACTTCTAAGGGCAACACACAGAGCTAAATCTCTGAAGGATTTAGCTGAATGCCTGCCTTGCTACACAGAATACCTTGTGGCTCACTGGCACAGAGACCCAAACAAGGGCAGTGGGGTCAAGGGAGTCCGGGCTCTAGCTCCTCTCCTCCTTATCAGCTCCGACCCAGAGAGTAAGATACCTGAACTCTCTGAGCCTCAGTTTTCTCCTCTGACCCTTTAGGTAGATGGAAGGACAGACAGAAATGATAGCACCTCTCAGCGTCGTGGTTGTCGGTAAGAGTCGGCCCTTTTCCCCTCACCACAGACACATCCCAACAAGTGACATAAGGCTGCCCCACTGACATTTCTAACAAAATAAATCCTGGGGTACAGGGTGTGAGAATAATGGAGTTTTCCTTACATTTTCTGACACACATGGTCCTTTCACATTCAGAGACACACAAGGACCAATGGCTCCTGCAACTTTCAGTTCCCGAGAAGTCTAAAACGGAAATACAAGAGAGCATCAAGTTAAAATTCATTGAGAACAATCCTCTCACGAAATACACAACAAAACTTACAGGAAGAATATGGCAGTGTTATCATTCCATTGTAAAGAAATCCTATGTGGATAATTCTCTTACAAACTTTTCCGTGACCACTGTAATTGGATAAAAACTTTAATAAAATCCTCCTTTAGAAACTGCATTGACTTTGTTTCTAAGATAATGCAGCGTTTTGAACTTTCTCACCTTAGAAATTATTGTACACATAGAGGAAATAATTCTGCCAAAAACATACTTTTTTTCCAATCCCAAGTACTTAGCTGTGATTATTTACAATTTCGGATCAGTGGATATACTGTTTTATGTTGCTTTAAAAATGCTTAATTAATGAACTCCAATATACCTACCCGGCCAACATACTTAGACTTTTAAATCTCAATTAAGAAAGAAAAAAAAAACTCAAACATTTGAGAAGCCTGTTTAAAGTTTAATCCAGATGATTTAAGATTATCTCTAATTCTCAAAGTAATAATCCCAATCGTATGGTGTAACAGCCCCTTCTAATGTTTTCTCAATGACTTAGAATGTTAAGTGTTTAGGGCTTTCAGTCCCTACAAGAAAAAGCAGGACCCAAACTCCCACTGCTGCTCTATTTCCAAGTGCTCCGGTTAGTCTGCAGGCAGACACTGAATATAAACATGGGTGTGTGAATGTGGGGGCCCATACCAACGGCCAGGGGGGCGCTCAGCACCAGGCGGCAGCCTCTGTGCTCAGCCCACCACCCCTTCCTTGGCTTGCTGTCCCAGAGCAGGACCGAGCAGAGCCTACAGGGCACTCAGACACCTCTTTGCATAAAACATTAATAAATATACAGGTCATCCTCAAGAAGCAAATATACCCTGTTCAACTATTTTGCTGGGAACTCTTTAACTTACGTTTTGGTGCCTGTGTCCACCAAGGTGAGACTTCTACAAGTCTGACTACTAAATAAATAAGAACACTCCTCTTCCATTAAAATTTTAGAAAGCTATCATACCTTCACTTCCAAAGTAGCACCGAACGCCATGCGAAAATGTCCATTGAAATCTTTACTAAAAATTCTTTGAAATGTCTGCTTGAAGAGAGAGGTGTTGAAAGAGTCTCCCATCACCATGTGGCCTCTAGGAGAGAAAAGAAGAAAGTGGACATTTAGGATGACTGAAAGCCACTCAGGTGCTTCCATGGTGTTCAAAAATAGTAATTTTTAAAAATATTTTTTGGGGCGCCTGGGTGGCTTAGTCGGTTAAGCGTCCGACTTTCGCTTAGGTCATGATCTCGCGGTTCGTGGGTTCGTGCCCCGCGTCGGGCTCTGTGCTGACTGCCAGCTCAGAGCCTGGAGCCTGTTTCAGTCTATGACTCCCTCTCTCTCTGACCCTCCCCTGCTCATGCTGTCTCTCTCTCTCTCCTAGAAATAAATAAAACATTTAAAAAAAATATTTTTTATAGTTTCTTTCTTTATTTTGAGAGAGAGAATGCGCATGAGTGGGGGAGGGGCAGAGAGTGAGAATCCAAAGCAGACTTCACTTTGTCAGCATGGAGACCGATGTGGGGCTCGAACTCATGAAACATGAGATCATGCCCTGAGCTGAAGTCAAACACTTAACTGACTGAGCCAACCAGGTGCTCCCAAACAGCAATTTAAAGATGGAAAAAAAATCCCACACCTGTGAAGGTGCTACTAATTTAAATGGGAAACAGCAAGTTCATTTGTACTTAGGAAAAACACTATTTTCAAAACATCAAAGATAGGAGTCCTTAGAACAGTTCTAAATCTGTCCTACAGAGGTGGTCAGACGAATCTGTACGTGATACAATCTCATACTATACACCCCCATACGTTACAACAAGGAGTGCCTATACAAACTGGTGAAGTCCGAGCAGGGTCTGTAACACACTTCATTCTATCATACCATGTCAATTGCTGGTTGTGACACTGTGCTATATTTCTATGATGCTACCACTGGAGTTGCTAAATGGAAGACCATTGACAGACCTCTCTGTAGTATTTTTGTAATTTCTTATGAATCTTCAATTATTTCAAAAGAACCCTTCACTGGTAAACCCACAGGTTTAATGGTTCATCTACTGAGGAAATGTGTCCAGCTCCCCTCACTCACTCTTCTCTGATAGGGGAAAATACCCAGGCTGCGGGAAATCCTTTTCAGGTTAATTAACTGCCTCAAAACATTGGATCTTTGGCTGTATGTGAATTATCTCTAGTGTATGAATACCTATATTCATCCCTTTTTGAAGTTAGAGGGAAATACTGGTCAAAATTGCAGCAGTTCATATATTTGGGCAGATAAGCACCACCTGATGCAACTTATGCACCTAGTCCTTGATCATCAACGAGATTTCAGAATGAGGCAGGACACAAGGTCATCTGGTCCAGCTATCTCAAGAGTGCCTGACCCCTCCAGGAACAGAAATGGCTCTTTGGCCCATTATAGTCCACCCTTCTCACCTTGCTTAGTCATGGGATCCATGGTTTCCTGGAAAAAACCTACATTTCCACATGCAGCCTGCCTTGCATGTGGCCACGTAACTCAGCTTTGTTTGTTGGAGGTGGCCTTTGTGATTTGTGGGGGGCATTCTCATGGGAAGACGCATATCTTCCTTTGACCCCTCCTCCCTGCTGCTGTAACACAGTGAGAGCCCAGTTACTATTCTGAAGTGCAGGCAGCACATAAAGGTGGTAGAACAGCATAGGAAGGGCCTCAGCCCCAGTGATAATGAAACCAACTGCCTACTTCCAGTGTCTACCTCTGGTGCACTCACACAAACCTAATTCTTACTTACACCAACCCTCTATAACATACCTGCCAGGTTATCACTCTATTAGACTTGAACTCCTCCAGCATCGGGAGGTCAAGCCCTCCACAGGCAGTCCATTCCAGGCATGGATAGTGCTAACTGTTAATACAGTCAGTCTTCATACTGGGTGAAATTCTATTTCCCAGCAGCTCCCAACACTGGTTCTAGTTTTCCCCTTTCGTCACATATGGAACAAACATATCTGATGCCCTCTACATAGAAGAGGCCTTCGATTGTTCAATATAGATCTTACACCCCATCTGTCTTCAGTGGTATCTTTTCTAGATCCTTTAATCACTCACCTTATGACACAGTTCCAAGTACTCTCCACCACTCTCCACAGGAGATACACACGCATACACACACACACACACACATACACACACACACACACACTCTGGCATATAAACTCAGGGATGTTCACAAATGCAGTAAAGCTTTTCCATGGATATTTTAAGATAAGAACTCTTGGATGATACTGGTAGGAATTCATCCTACTAAATGTGGCTCACTGGTATAGCTATGTCAGTGTCATTTGGGACTTTGGTCACCTAACAAATCTGCTGTTCTCTGGGACAGCTTCAGGTGACTTGAGTTCAACCTTCTACACACTCCTTCGTTATTCAGTGAGGACCAGCAGTATCGCCTGGGAGCTTGTTAGAAATGCAGAATCTCAGGAACATGCCGTAGGTCTATGCCAGTACTTCTCAGACTGTTCTGAGCAAATCACCTGGGAGCTTATTCAAATGCAGGTTTTGATACAAAAGGTCTAAGGTGAGACTCGAGATGCTAGATTTCTTGTAGGCTCTCATGTGAGGCTGACGGTGGCTGTGTTCAACCATACTCTGAGCACTAAGGGTCCATAACGTGGTTCTTAAACTCTCCTCACATTAGAAACACCCAGGGGAGTTTAAGAAATGCTGATGCCTGGGTCATACCCCATGCTTATACATCAGAATCTCTGTGGGACAAGACTTAAAGCAAGAGTAGTTTTTAAAGTTCCCAGGTGATTCTAGTGTGCAGCCAGTTTCAGATCTATGTTGCACATCGGCAGTTCAGGCTTTCTATGCACCAGAGTCCCCTGGTGAGCATGTAAAAGCTGACTGCTGGGCTGCAGCCTCACAGTCTGATTCAGGAAATCTGGGGTGAGACCTGAGGAGATGCACTTCTACTCAGTCCCCGGGAGCCTTGAAGGTTGCTGGTGAGGCCCCATCACACTCTGAAAACTGTGCCCTACACTGTCATGCACCCTCCAGACTGAGCATGTGCTCTGTGTTGGTTATGCTCCCTCCACTGACACCACAGCCTGGAACTTCCTGAAAGCTTATCTTGGTCAGCCATGCACATTCCAATGGTTCCACCACTCACTTCTCTTTCGTTAAAACACACACACTCGCCTTTCCCAGGTGTTTGTCGTCAACATACCCAGTAAGATTTGCACAACACTTCATCTCTAGAAGTCCCGTCTGATCAAGGGCACAAGCGTAAATATCAATGCAGTGACCATTTGTAGCAGTTCGGTTGGCAAGCATCTCATAGTGCTGTGAAGAGAGAAAAATTATCTTTAGGAAACAGCAGTATTTTCACTAGGTATGCCTTACTGTACCAAAGGGATGTAACCAAACTTAAGAATATGGACATAGTTGTCTTTATAACATCCATATTAAATCAAACATATAGTTTTCAATCTCAAAATGCTTTTAGCAGTTTTAAGACCATCCATTCTAAGTAAGGACTCAGAACTATGGCAATAATTTAACAACAGCCAAGATCTAGAAGTTATCTCAGCAAGAGCAACTTGCTGACCACAAAGCATGGTCACAGCAAAGTTGCTGTCACTCCAGAGCAACCTAAACCCAGTACTAGGTTACTAGAATTACAGCCTGTGTTCAAGAGTACCTACCTTGGTCGCCTTTTTCATGAAACGTGCATTATCTTTCTCAATATCATGCCAGGAACGAATAGGAACCTTTAATTCATCTCCAACTACCATGCCAGGCCCTTGGGTAGGGGGACCTCCAGTGAACAACATAATCCTGGCTCCCGTGTTTGGAAAAGTGCCCTAAGACAGTAAATGGCAGTATTTTAGAAACATACAACCCACCTCAAGTATGCTTCCATTTCTCTAAAGAATACTCCAAACAGTTCTGATCAGCTGAATACCGTTGATAGTACAAAATAACACAATGACACAATCACACAAATGACAATCTGCATGTCTTCCAACCTAAGGGCTTCGTAAACTTTTTTTTTAATTCACTGTGAGCATTTGCCATTGTCCTAATAGCCTTGTGTTTCTCATGAAAACTTCTGATATTTTCAAAACATCACGAGGTTCCTTCACTGTGGATAATAATAATGACCGAAGTGCTTTCTGATAAATTAACCCAGTCAGTTGACTTAGGTTACAACTGATTTTCAAACAAGGTTAGCAAACACAACTTGTGAGAGCAAGCTTGTATGGTTTGAGGCGCCCCGGTAAATTCTGAGTTACCTCCAAAAGGCCAACGGCAATGGACAAAGCAACACCAGTGGATCGCAAAGGTCTCTTCCCCTGAGTCACAGGCCATGGGTCCCTCTGCAGCTCCCCAAGGAGATCAGTGAGGTTCATGTCAATCTTTTGAACGGGCTGCAGAAATCTGTATGATTTTCAAAAGGCAGGTCAATCCTGATTTAATAAGTACTCTGGGTTTTACCCCTCAGTGACACACAATCACGGCTCTGCAAAATAATTACTCACAGTAGAAAAAACTTACAATTTTGCCCCTTTAAAAAAATTTTTTTAATGTTTTATTTATTTCTGGGAGAGAGAGAGAGAGAGACAGACAGACAGACAGACAGAGAGACAGACAGCATGAGCAGGGGAGGGTCAGAGAGAGAGGGAGACACAGAATCCGAAGCAGGCTCCATGCTCTGAGCTGTCAGCACAGAGCTTGACGCGGGACTCGAACCCACAAACCGTGAGATCATGACCTGAGCTGAAGTCAGACTCTTAACCAACTAAGCCACCCAGGTGCCCCGTAAAACTTGCAATTTTGTTTCTTCAAAGCAGTTTTAGCCAGGAAAATAATTTAAAACTGAACGTACAGCAATTTATATACATAAATTTATGTATTTACATAATAAATTATAAATATATGTAGTATTAAAAAAAGGATTTAAATAGGAACAAATTTTAATTAAATTCTAAGCAGCAAAGAAATGCTAAAGACAGGTCTAATGTAAATTCAATCCATGCAAAGTTCATGTATATGGACCACCTTCATCATTCTTAAGATCCACTTTATTCAAGTTTATTTATTTTGAGAGAGAGAAAATGTGTGTGCACCTTCAGGGGAGGGGCAGAGAAACAGGGACAGAGAGAATCCCAAGCAGGCTCCATGCTGTCAACGCAGAGCCCAACGCGCGGCTCAATACCATGAACCATGAGATGACCTGAGCCAAAACGGGGAGTCAGATGCTCAACTGACTGAGCCACCCAGGTGCACCTAAAGATCCACTTTCACATGATTCTCAAGTACTTCCCTTGAGATTTAAGAGTAAATACAGAGAGAAGCACTGGGTTTCTTATCATAGTAAATGGTTGTTCCCAACACGTCAGCCAATGAATTTTATCATGTTTGCTGACTGTTGCCAGCCCTAGGCAGCCCAGGCAGTCAACGAGCTGAGAAAAATAAGTGCCTAGTCCCAGGTTTGCTTGAGGACACCCCACAGAAGCCTTTTCTGTTTTATTTAAAACTCAAAAGAGGACAACAGCCTTGAGCAAGAGAAGGGGAAGGCTTGAGTACAGTGGTCTCAAAACCTCTGTAATGATACAACACTAAGAGGAAAAATATTCTGAGCAAATCTACCACATACATATGTATGTGTATGTATGTATTTGTACACACACAATTCAGTTATTAGTTTGAAATATATACCAATGTGTTATACAAGTCGTTAAATATTAAATATTGATTAGGTTTAATCATTTAGGTTTTTTTTGGTCTAAAAACAATAAAACAGAAGTTTTAACATTTTTCTTCTCTCCCTTCAGCGGATTGCCCTGCATGCCCATTACTGTGTATGCAACATTCTATGTGGGTAACTCACCTGCTTGAAACGAAAGGGTGCTCCTGTGGTTGACCAGGTCTTGCTTGCTGCAACGGCATGGCAGGCTTGGTGAGGCCCAGCATATCCTACAAAACCCAAAAAGACTCATTTTCCACAACACTAGTGTGAATGACCAATTACTTTTTAAGACATCTCCTTGCTCCTGCCTGTGCACAAACAAGGCACAAACCTGTATTTGCTTTGCGGTTAAATCCTTGGTCCCTCGGAAGACATAACTTTTGGAGATTCCTTCACAGCTGAGTTCATGAACTTGCACCATCCTCCCAAACGTGATCAAACCCACCAGAGCATCTGGAGGAAGGAGGCTCAAGGACATTTGCAGGGATTCTTTGAGTGCTTGAAGGTCATCTTCTTCCAGGCATGTGTCAACCACATACAGGAAGATCAGAGGGGAGGGAGCACCTCGCTTTATGCAAAGAAACACAGCATGATGATCAGTATACAGACAGACATAACCAGCTCTTTTCCAAGCAAATCAGATATGTAAATAACAAATCTTGTCTATATTTACTGTCAGGAAATATGAACATCCAATTAACTTCTACTCACTTCATTAAATGACAGGTTCTATTAAAACAAACTAAATGTAAAAACTATTTGTATCCAACAATTTATTCTACGTATTTTTCAAATGTTTTATTTTTGAGAGCGCATGAGCAAGGGACAGGCAGAGATAGAGGGACAAAGGATCTGAAGTGGGTCTGACACAGGGCCCAAACCCACGAACCGTGAGATTATGACCTGAGCCAAAGTCAGACACTCAACTGACTGAGCCACCCAGGTGCCCCTCTACATTTCTTTTTCTTTCTTTTTTTAATGTTTTTATTCATTTCTAGGAGAGAGAGAGAGACAGCGTGAGCAGGGGAGGGTCAGAGAGAGAGGGAGTCACAGACTGAAACAGGCTCCAGGCTCTGAGCTGGCAGTCAGCACAGAGCCCAACGCGGGGCTCGAACCCACGAACTGCGAGATCATGACCTAAGCGAAAGTCGGACGCTTAACCGACTAAGCCACCCAGGCGCCCCTGCCCCTCTACATTTCTGAATGCCTTCCATGCGCCAGACACTGTTCCAGGGCCTGGGATATATCAGGGAACCAAAAGAACAAAGATCGCTGCCTACCTTAGGAGCTGATTTTCTGGATGGAGGGAGTAAGGGGATGCCAGGAGTAGAGGTGGGCGGCAGGTTCCAGTATTACATAAGAGGTCAGAGAAGCCTCAATAAGAAAGTAACATTAGAGCAAAAACCCAGAGGAGAGGGAAGCAGCAATAAAGACATAGGAGAAAGAGAATTCCAGCCTCGAGCAAAGGCCCATTGGCAGGAGCATGTCCAACGAAAGTCATGAGGCCCATGTGGCTCAACGAGGACACTAAAACAAGCTGAGGTCTGTATAGGGCTGGTCCACAAAGAGCTTTGAAGAGTGTCTCTTACTTAGGGTGAAAGGGAGTCATTTTCACCACTGGAGGTTTCTAAACACAGAAGTAACATGACATATTTTTAAAGAGTTACTCTGGCTTTTGGGTTTAGAATAAACTAGAAGTGGGAAAGGGTAAAATTAGGAAGAAGGTTAAGAGACTGCCCAGTAATTCAAGAAAGAAAAGAAAGAGGTGATAGTTGGCCCAGGAAAAAAGTGATGGGGACGCCAGTCAGAGTGGCTAAAATGAGCAAATCAGAGAACTCTAGATGCTGGCGAGGATGTGGAGAAACAGGCACCCCCCTACACTGTTGGTGGGAATGTAAACTGGTACAGCCCCTCTGGAAAACAGTGTGGAGGTTCCTCAGGAAACTAACAACAGAACTCTCCTATGACCCAGCAATAGCATTGCTAGGAATTTACCCAAGGGATACAGAAATGCTGATGCATAGGAGCACGTGTACCCCAATGTTCATAGCGGCACTCTCCACAATAGCTAAAACATGGAAAGAGCCTAAGTGTCCATCAACAGACGAATGGATCAAGAAGATGTGGTTTATCTATACCATGGAATACTACATGGCAATGAGAAACAATGAAATCTGGCCATGTGTAGCAACATGGATGGACCTTGAGGGTGTTATGCTGAGCAAAATAAGTCAGGCAGAGAAGGACAAATACCATATGTTTGCACATATAGGAGGATTAGGAGGAACTTAACTGAGGAACAAGGGGGAGAAGAAGGGGGGAAATGGTGGGGGAGAGGGAGAGAGGCAAACCATGAGAGACTCTTGAAGGCTGACAAAAACTGAGGACTGATGGATGTGGGGGGGTGGTGGGATGGGCATGGAGGAGGACACTTGTGGGGATGAGTACTGGGTGTTATGTGGAAACTAATTTGATAATAAACTATTTGTAAAAAAAAATTAAATTTAAAAAAATTAAAAAAAAAAAAAGTGGTGGGGAGAAAGAAGTGATTGGACTGTGGCCAGATTCTGAATATAGACCCAGGGGGATTTCCTAGTGGACTGGATATGGAATGTACAAGAAAGACAAGTCAAGGATGAACCTAAGGTTTTTATGCTTGACTACAAGATGGAGTACCCTCAAAGGAGCGGGAGATAGCTGTGAAGGACAAGCACTGAACTCAACCAGTGACCCCCTTTCTAGCCTTCTACCAAGACTGTAAGTAAGTCCAATGCATGCACACACATTATAACCAAGTGTTCAGGATCCAGCTGCCCTCATTACTTTAAATTGCCCAGAAAGGTAAGGGACACAGAAGATAAAGTGTCTCAAGAGAAACTCAATATTTAACACAACTCATTAAATGTATAACAGAAAAGTTACCTGTATCACATACTCAATTGTAGAAAACTGGGGCATCAATTCAGCAGGCTGATTCACCTCAGATATGCCTGTATAAGCAGGAGGAAACTGAAGAGAAGAAAACGAAGCAATGTTTTATTAGGACTCAAAGATATTTACTTTATACCTTTTTTTTCCATTTATAAAAAGAGGTAATGTCCATGAATTAATTCTGAAAGTGTAAATTATAGACGATGTAACTAAAATACAAAAATCAAACTTTTAAATCAAAACCCTGCCTTACATTTATATCCCATTGTAATTTTTTAAAATGTAGTTTGAGGGTACGTTGCAGCTTCACAATGATTAAAAAAGGCACTATTAAAAAACATATTTTAAGCACTGCCCTGCAAATTAAGGGCAGAGATTTTAGCTGCCTCATTAATAATTTATGTGGAAGGCCATGCTTCACCAGAGGGCGGTGCCCTTGCAGCCCCCTGCATTCTCCAAGGCCAGAACCTAGGAGTGTGACTGGGCTTCTCTCTTTAAACCCTTTTGGAAAGTGACTGGTGAACTAAGCAGGAGATGGAGTGAGGAATGCTGAATACTGATGTACTGTCCACCAGTAGTTCAAGACATATTGGCCTGGGACTCTAGTCTCTAGGGAAAATGCCTTCCAGAGAAGTGCCACTGGAAATAGAAATGAACCCTCAAGCAACTTGCTAAGGACCACCCTAGAGCTGCCTCTTCATTTTCCCTCATCCTTCTTTTCATGATGCCTTACAACATGAAGCTTCTATCACTGCCCTTTGGAGAGGCAAATCTCTGTATTCAAAATTTGGAGACAAACCTTTTGCTCCACATTTCAAAAGAGGACAGAGAACCTGGGGAGAATTCAGAGAAAAAGGATCCAAATGACAGAAGCGATAGACTGTTGCTATGTGTAGAGTACGGTTCTACAGAAAAAGAACGTAAAAGACGGCAAGCATATGAAACAGAAATTGTAAATGAAATTTTAAGGAAATATATAAGGAAGCTGTAAAATCATTTTTCTTCAAAGTTAAAAGTCATAATTTGGGAAATAGATTTAAATTAGGAAAAATTTCATTTATACAGGAAAATATCTGATGAACCTTGAAAGTTATAAAATAGTTTTAACCAACAACAAAACAAAGAGAAGCTAGAAAATAACAATTCTTATAAACAAGAGGAGCCCTATGCAAATGAGGCATTAAATAAAGAGCTGTGATTGAAACCAAAAAAACTTATATGGAAGACTAATGCTTTTATTTGGATTTATTATTTTAGCTGTTATCAATAAAATAATACATGTCCATTATAGAAAAACTGGCAAATACAAGAAAATATAAGAAAACAGAAAAGGGAGCACTTGGCTGGCTCAGTTGGAAGAGCATGCAATTCTTGATTTTGGAATCAAGAGTTCAAGCCCTAAATTGGGTGCAGAGATTACTAAAAATAAAAATAATAATAATAATAATAAACTTAAAAAGAAAAAAGAGAAAACAGGAAGGAAAAAAACCCTTTATGTTCCTACCAACTAGAGACAGCTAGAGTCAACATGTAGGTGTCTTTCTTTCCAGACTTTTTCTACTTAAGCACAGATGATCTCATCCTGTATATCCAATTTTGCAACCTGCTGCTTATGCTTGACATTATATCACAGGCATTTCATCTTTAAAATTTTCTGCAAACACCTGAAACTCATAGCCTGTAAACTGATGTTTTACCCAGTTTTTTAAATTATGATAAAGCATATATAACTTTTATCACATTAATCTTTGGTCAGTGTATAGTTCAGTGGTCTTAAGTATTCATCACCACCATCTACCTCCAGAACTCTTTTTATCTTGCAAAACTGAAACTCTGAACCTATAAACATTTCCTCATTATGTCCTCCCCCAGATGTTCTAATATTAATCCCTCACTAGATTTATGATTAGCAAATATTTTTGCCCATTCTGTGGACTACATTTTTACTCCGCTGACACTGTCTTTTGATGTCTTAGAATTTTCACTATAACTATATTAAACACAGACCTCAATTTTGAATGTCTTTAAGAGTTGCACATACTCCTGAATCTCTCATGGAGGTAAATTTTAAATGGTATCTGCTCATAATTTCCAAGCCTATACTTAGTACACTGATTGGTCTATTTATCACTGGACTTACTTTAAGATGTATCAAAGAATGAGATTATTAACTGTAATTATGATTAAATATATGAATAAACAAATGCCACGTTATCAATATCTTAAGATCTACTAAACCACTGTATACTATACTGGAAATAATTAAGTTTTTCTAAAAGCTTTATTGAAATATATATACCATAAAATTCACTCTTTTAAATGTATAATTTGGTGATTTTTTTTTTTTTTTAATTTTTTATTTCTAGGAGAGAGAGAGAGAGACAGCGTGAGCAGGGGAGGGTCAGAGAGAGAGGGAGTCACAGACCGAAACAGGCTCCAGGCTCTGAGCTGGCAGTCAGCACAGAGCCCGACGCAGGGCTCGAACCCACGAATCACGAGATCATGACCCGAGCGAAAGTCGGATGCTTAACCGACTAAGCCACCCAGGCACCCCTAATTTGGTGATTTTTTAAAAAAATTTATTTGGAGAGAGAACGTGTACACATGAGCAGGGGAGGGGCAGAGAGACAGGGAGAGATAGAATCCCAAGTAGGCTTCTCACTGTCAGCACAGAGCTTGACGTGGGGCTTGAACTCATGAACTGTGAGATCATGACCTGAGCTGAGATCAAGAGTTGGACATTTAACCGACTGAGCCACCAGGTACCCTAGTAGTTTAAAAAAATTTTTTTTTAATTTCAAAATTTTTAAATCAAGAAATGCTCAACATTGGTACTTGGACCCTGAAAGTTATAAAGATAAAAAATGAAAATTCAGTATTGTACACACTACGCAATTAGAATAAACTGAAGTCAAATGAAATATACACAAGATATGTTTTCTTAGGATAACATATTCACTGTCTACAGAGAACATTAAAAAGGGGAATTTTATGTCTCTTCCACAGCAAATGATAAAAACCCACATAATGTAACTAAGTCACCATTCAACAGAAAAATCACAAATGTTCAGGTTTCAATTACGCTTAACAAAAGCTATCGCCTTGACGTCAGCAGAAATTGATGACTACCCAGACAGACACAAATTCAACCTTCCTTAATTATTTTCAGAGTAGTTCAACTAAAATGAAACACAGAAAGACACTTTAAAAAATTCACATACCTGATTTCTTTGGAAACAGAAATTACAGGCCCAAAGTTTTGCTCGATAATCGACCTGACTGTGAGAAAGATAAATATTACAGCTAGGTACCATTTTCATTTTTAATGTGGAAAAAAGCATTCAAATGTAATCTTCAAGTTCAATAAATCACACAGATATGTTTCCGTGTATGAGCATGAATGGATAGAGGGATGGAAAATGTCTGCTGCAGTTAAGAGTTGTGGCTGTTAAGTACACCAAACATTTCCTTCAAACAGCAGCACTGAAGAGTTAGTAAGTAAATCTTCTTTTCTCTTTTCTAAGTCCCTCGACAATATTTAAAATGTCATGATTTTACATAAGTTACAGGTTATTCCCTTTCATCATGGTATCTTAACATAATTTGTATGATTTTTCTAGCACTTTTTTAGTTGAGATATGTGAAACTTTGAAATGTCAACACTAAATGTCACTGCCTTTCACCTCACCTAGCTCACTTGAAGAAACGTTGGGAGGCATGCTTCCTAGAATTGGCTAAGAGAATGCTTCAGTTGGTTTTTTTCTCCCTTTCTGCATTTAGAAAATTAGCAATGCCTATCTCTTTGAAGGAAGAGTAGCAGCATCTTACACATGGGTATGATAAGTAAAAGGAAAGGGAATGATGTAAAAAATGTTCCCTCATAGGAGTCTTGTTTATTCCCTCATATAAAAGTTTTACCTTTTAAAGAGTATTTCTGATACTCTTCACCTGTTTAAAAATTCTTTCAAATAATGCCTACATTTCAGAGAAATATCATAGGTCACCATCTCAGGTACAAAAATTACACTTAACAATCATTAAGAGTTATAATTTCTTCAGCCTGTTACTTCTTACCATACAGCATCACCATACCAGGTAAGAGAAAACTGTCAAGAGCTTTCTAATTTTGTTTTTGAAAATGCTTTAAAAGGCACCAATATAACCTATCGTTAAGCCAAAAACAAAGTGCAATCAGAAAAAAAAAAAAATAAAGTTAATTCCAAATCCTTTCCCTTGACTTCTACCTCATTCCTGTAAGTTCTAATTTTATCTCAAATATTATGCCAGGGAGACTTATACTTCTACAAGCACTCTTTCTTTGTATATACATATATATATATATATATATATATATATATATATATACACATATATATATATTTTTTTTATTTTATTTTATTTAAATCCTAGTTAACATAGAGTATAAGAATGGTTTCAGAAGAATTTAGTGACTCATCACTTACATATAAATAACACCCAGTGCCTACCACGAGTGCCCTCCTAAATGCCCATCCCCTATTTAGCCCATCCCCCAACCCTAGACTTCTACAAACATTCATCACCTCAGAATCTTATCACCTACTACTAATCCCAAATTTGAGGACTTGCCCAAATGGAATCAGTTTTGTGGGAATCGCATAAAAGTCATAATTTTTACTGTATTCTTCCTTTTTATTAGTTTTAAAAAGAATTCATACCAAAGTGGATTGAGAATGGCTTTGCAGGTTGGCCGGCTACAAAGCACAGGTTCGTACTGTACTGGAGGCAGATCTGGACGTTCTTTCAAAGGAGTGAGGAGACAAGCCAGGGGAACAACCATTCTCGTAGCCTCGAGGCGGCTGGAAGGCCACACGTTCCAACTAAAGCGCACACCATCCCGCTCTTCATTCTGCTGAATGAACTCCAAATATGTTGCCATAGTCTAAAAAGAAACTATAGATAAGATATAGATAAGGCTTTAATTTTATGTGAAATTCTCAACTTCAAAAAAGAAGACAGTCACCCAACGATGTTCTTTAAACACTTAGTCTAAAAGAACTGGTCACTGTAGGATGACATCTCCCTTCCCTTTGAGTCCCAGAAGTCAATTAACCTCACAGTTATCTTTGCCTACTATTCCTTTGTCAACTCTCCTCTCTAGCACTTACGAGAAAAGATGCTGGGAGTTTACAATCATTTGATCATTTCCAAGCTTAATGTAAAACCTCCTCTTAGGTCATGCAACATCGCAACCAAGCGAATTCTCAATTCCCTTTCCCCAAGAGTCAGTCTCAAACCCTGTTTCAGCATCCAGCTACCTTCCTTCCTGATCCCCTCCCTTTCATGCTTTATTAAAGCAAACACTGTATTAAATTTTACTCTCCAAGTGATCTTGTTTTTGTGCCCTTTCCCCTCCTCTCTTTGTTAACTGTGGAGACAAGAATTGGATGCTGATGTGTGAATTCAGTTCATAATGAGAACCACCACCAGGTCTGAGCCATAATATTTCTATTTGAGATCACCAAAATTATAATGCTAAGTTTGCTGTCATGCTGAGCGAGTCCTTCACCAGGACTTCTTCCTCACTATGTTTGCTTAGGCTCATGCCTTGAAAAATTTTGGTTGATAAAAATAACCATTTAGACTAAGTTTTTCAAGCCAAGACAATGCCAACTCCATTGAGTGTTTCATACATCCTGTTTAAATCCTAAAGTCTAGGTTAAGGCTAACACATATCTCAGCCACTAGGGTTCAAGGGAACCTAGCTTCAAGGGAACAAGCCCCTCAAGAAAAATGGAAAAATAGGCAAATTAAAGAATCTACACTAGGGGAACCTGGGAGGTTCCGTTGGTTACGCATCTGACTTCAGCTCAGGTCATGATCTCACAGCTCGTGGGTTTGAGCTCTGAGTCAGGTTCTGAGCTGATAGCTTAGAGCCTGGAGCCTGCTTTGAATTCTGTGTCTCCCTCTCTCTCTCAAAAATAAACATTAAAAAAAAAATAAAGAATCTACATTAATAGTGGCCTCTAGTGCTCACTTCCTGAGGTGCTCAATCATAAATGTCTCCATGTTATTATGAGAAGTGCCATACTATAAATAATATGGGCTAAGGGAACAATTTTTCGCGTGGGGGGGGGCAGAGGGAGTAAGGGAGAGAGAGAACTTTTTTTTTTAAGGTTTATTATTTATTTTAGAGAAAGAGAATGAGAGAGCACATGCAGGGGAAGGGCAGAGAGACAGGGAGACAGAGGATCCAAAGGGGGCTCTGCACTGACAGCAGAGAGCCCAATGTAGGGCTTGAACTCACAAACCAGGAGATCAAGACCCAAACCAAAGTCGGATGCTTAACAGTTAAGCCACCCCGGTGCCCCGAGAGACACAGACTCTTAAGCAGGCTCAATCTCATAACTGTGAGACCACAACCTGAGACGAAATCAACAGTGGAATGCTTAACCGACTGAGCCACCCAGGAAATGATTTTATATGGCTAGAAAAGCAAATGAAGGAATTAGCCCTCTACACACAACCCAGACCCCAACACTTATAAATGTTTGCTCTAACTGAAACTCTAAGGCATCTACTTCTTATTTTTGGCAAAGGCCGGAAACTGAAGCACCCTTTACACAGGAGGCCCTTCTGCAGCTACAAAGTGGCAAAGGGATAGCTCAGGTGGGAATAAAAGCAAGTTCTAATATCACAATTCTCAGCAAGTTTCATTCACTGACTGTTACCAGTTCAAAACAGTTCATTAATGAAGATACTGGCTCCATCCAATATCCCCAGGGAGCTACATATTAAAACCTGCTCTTTCCGTTTCCCACTGTCTCTTTCCCTTACCTCTTCTAGAATACGGATTCTTAAACCTCGGCACAAAACCAACGGGGCACTTCATAGCGTCAGTAAATCTTCTGAAGTTGTATGCAAAATTGTGTGCATGAGCGAAAATGCATTTTTCTAGGGCGGTCGATCTATGGCTCACATCATATTCTCAAAGGGGAAGAGGTTCTCAAGAGGCTAATAGTTGAATGAATGAGTTGGTGAAGGAGTGAATTAAACGAACTTTAAAAGTTCTGTAGGAGTATCTGTCAAACACACACCCACCCCAAAAACTGAACCGATCATCCCATCAAAGCGTCGACACGGTAGCGCCAAGTTTAAGCAAAGCGTAATGCTTCAAGCGCAGTCTGTAGACCCGGGTCCCAGTTCCAGCTGTCCCGAGGCAGAAGTCACTCACCCCATTTCAAGTTACTCAACTGTAAAAATAAACCTGAATCCTTCCGCACCCCGCGATTCCGAGGGTTCCCGAGCCGGCTGGCCGCACCGCCTGACGAGGAACGCGTCACTCTCAGCGGACCCCTGGGTCACTGAGTCCCCAAGTTCCTCTGCCCGCCGAGCCGTCGAGAAAAGGCTTCGCCCTAGGAGCAATCCATTCGGTCCCTACAGATACTCTAGTCCATGCCCTCGGCCACCCATCACACGCGCTCCCACTCACCTGGCAGAAGCCGTTCGCCCAGCCGCGTTCGCACCCACAGTTGCTAGAGCCCCGCTCCGGCTCCCACCGCCAAGTCCAGCTCAGCTCTCAGCCGACTGGTTAGCGCCCCTGTGCGTCACGCCACGGCGCCGTCCTCGGGCCAATCAAAGGGGGCCTCTCCCCGCGGAGGAGCGGAAGCAAGACTCTCAGTGAAGCCGCGCCGCCATCTTGGAATAGGGCAAGTCCGTGATGCCTCAGGCTTTCAAACCACCGCTCCTCAGATCCTAAGTTCCTCCACGTTCACCTCTAAACGTTTGTGCTTCAGAAAACTCAGGAGGCTGCCGGACTGTTTCCTAAGTGCAGCCGGCACGCCTCAGGGGTTCGCCCTGATCCAACATGAGTTCCGCCCGCCTCACTAGAAAGTCCCTCTCATCGCCTTAGTTACCGGGAAGCGAGAATGATGACGTGTAGCACCGGAAAAAGGAGGGGCGCCTTGCGGAGCAAGCTGAAGCTTGCCGGAAAAGGTCTCAGCGGGGCAAGGACCAGGGCGGGGAGGAGGGAGCGTTGGGCCGTCCGCTCTGGATTTGGGAATTCAACAGGTACAGAAATACTTTATTATGTTAACTACCATTATGTTACTGCTCGCTGTGTTGGCCTCGCGTTCTCTTCAGGGGCTGACACTAGCGGACAGTTACTCTCTGCATGTCTAGTCCATATTCAAGCATCTTAGGAGGCTAAGAAAACTCATATAGAACACAACTTTCTACAGCCACCACAGCCGTTATACACCTTTTTCCAAGAGACGAAAATGAGCACATTTATTAATGTGACCTCGAGATACAGCCTCTCTATATTTTAAAAAAAGAAGCAAAGCTATATAAACTTAAAATGATGCTTAGAATGTATCTAGACCTCCAAGATGTATCATTCATTAGCTCAACGTAGTACGAAATGTTAAGTTACAGAGCACAAACTAGTTTTAAGGCGATATATTATGAAACATACTCCTAATATAAGAAGTTTGTCAAGTAATTCACTTTTGTTGAACAAATTTAGACGATTTTCATCTTCCTAAAACATGTCAGAATAAGATTAGGTTATTTCATCATTAAGCGAATAAATTTAGGCAGTTTGCATTAATCTCTCAGTAAGGAAACAAACTCAATTAAAATATATACACGTTTGTATTATAGTTTACTCTGAGAAAAGAGCTGTGTGTGGTTTTTGTTAACCAAACATTAGAAGAATATCATTTACCAAAGACTTGCTTTAGTTATTTGACCCTGCCCTCTTTCTTTTTTTTTCTTTTATTTATTTATTTATTTTACAAATAGTTTATTGTCAAATTAGTTTCCACATAACACTCAGTGCTCATCCCCACAAGTGCCCTCCTCTATGCCCATCCCTCCTCCCCCCCCCCACATCCATCAGTCCTCAGTTTTTGTCAGCATTCAAGAGTCTCTCATGGTTTGCCTCTCTCCCTTTCCCCCACCATTTCCGCCCTTCTTCTCCCCCTTGTTCCTCCGTCAAGTTCCTCCTAATCCTCCTATACGTGCAAACATATGATATTTGTCCTTCTCTGCCTGACTTATTTCGCTCAGCATAACACCCTCAAGGTCCATCCATGTTGCTACACATGACCCTGCCCTCTTTCTATACTAGAAATTTCTAAGAAGGAAAAAAATCTTAAAAAAAATCTTTAAAAAAAAAAATCTTACACATTTAAAGTATTCGAAGTTTAATTTCTTTATTTTCTGGGAGTTTTAGGAATATTTGATTTATGCAAATATGTATTTATCTCAATAAGCCAATCAGAACAGAGCTCCTATTTGTTTATTTAATTTTAGAGAGAGATGGTGAGTAGGAAGAAGGTAGAGGGGCAGAGGGAGAGAATCCCAAGCAGGCTCCACACTCATCATGGAGCCTGACTCAGGCTCAATCCCACAGCCCTGGGATCACAAATAGAGCCAAAATCAAGTCGAATGCTCGACTGAGATACCCAGGCATCCCAGAACAGAGCTCCTTTAAGACACTTACTAATCTGGGGTGTTTGGGTGGCTCGGTTGGGCATCCAACTCTTGATTTTGGCGGGGGTCATGATCTCAGGGTTCCTGGCTTCAAGCCCTATCCTGCTGACCACTCTGTGTAGGGCTCAGCCCTGTTAGTGTGGAGCCTGCTTGGGATTCTCTCTGCCCCTCCCCTGCTCGCACTCTCTCTCTTTCTATCTTAAAATAAAGAAATAAACATAAAATATGTTTTAATTAAAAAATAGAGACGTATTACTCTAATTGTTTAAAGGTCTTCAAGCTTGGTAAGCATTTCAAACTCCACAATTTGTGAAGGCTTTTCTTGGTTACAGCCATAAAGACACAGAGATGCATAGACACAAAGAAAGTATACAGCTTTGATTCTACAACTTTTATCACAGGTCAGAAGTGAACACAGAAACACAAAAACTCACTCGATCAGATATCATAAAGCCATTTTTCTTCCCATTCGGCATGAAAATCTTTACTGATTTGAACTCAGATTAAAAAAAGCAAACAAAAAAGACCAACTAGATTCTCTGTCCTCTCTTTTCCAAAAGAAAATATATCTCTATCAATTAGCTTAGTGAGACCACCAAATGGTTAGAATATAAAGCCAAGTTTCTAATCACTGTTGCCACCAATGAGGAGAAACATATCAGCTGTAGATGTGTCAGAAACAAAACCAAAAATACAGAATCATTAAAGAAAAAACCTAGAGAAACAGAGTCAGTACATTGTTGTATGATTGTCGCTTGAATATTCACTCTTCACTCTGGGAACCAAAAGCAAAATATGCCTGGGCTTAATTAAGCACCCCAGGAAGTAATCTTCAGGAACATGATTTACCTCATTGTTTCAGGTGAATCTATTGGGATTCTGGTGAAACCGTCAAAATTGTTAAAGTCTCAAAAAGGTAAAATTCTGGCCCTCATACCAATGTAAAATGAGAATATGTCAAAAACTCATTTATTAATGAGCGAACAAGTAAGGATGTTGTGACTGGTTCAAGGAAGAATTTAAAAAAAATTTTTTTTTAACATTTCTTTATTTTTGAGAGACAGAGGGGAGGGGCAGAGAGAGAGGGACACACAGAATTGGAAGCAGGCTCCAGGCTCTGAGCTGTCAGCACAGAGCCTGACGCGGGGCTCGAACCCACGAACTGTTGAGATCATCACCTGAGCCGAAGTCGGACACTCAACCGACTGAGCCACCCAGGTGCCCCAGAAGAATTTGATTTATAGATTCATATTCCCTACCACAGAAAATTCATTTGCATTTCTGCGGACAAGACTCATTTGCATTATTATGCACAGGAAATGTTTGCATTACTATCAGTTTTCTGTAAATTAATTTCTTTCTCTGCAGAGTTGTAAAATAGCTTTGTCAAAGATAGAGGCACACACCGCTTATGATCAGATGACCCCAGAGAGTCCTTTAAAAAATGCCCAGCATAGTTGGTCCGAGGGTTGTGGGTTATCGTTAAGCTAAAAAATGCCCAACATTCCATGGAAGTTCACCCAGTAATCTCTTTTGACTATTTCAGAGTCTTTCACAATTTTCCTGACATATTTCTTATCATCTGTAATCTAATTTCTATATCTCTGGCTCATACTTATCTAACATGAGATTCATATATTCAGCAACCTGCTAGGTATCTCTGGGCATTCTTGGCACCCCAATCTCCGTATGTCCTGTTAATTAAAAAGAAGACCGTTAGACTGATGGGGTTCTAATGCCATGGCAGCCTACATAAGCAACCTGAAATGTAAGTACAGAAATGCCTCAAGGTTATGAGATCGAAACACTGACTACAACCAACAGCCAACTGGACAATCAAATAATTTCTTCTCTTGGCTTCTACGCCTCTGTTTAAGTGTTTTCCCTGACTCCTGGAGACAGAGGGGTCCTAACCACTTCCACTTTGGTGCTATTTGATTCAAATTGAATTTCGCTCAAATAAACTCTTATAATTAAAAAAAAATTTTTAATGTTTATTTTTGAGAAATTACACGTGAGTGGGGGAGGGATAGTGAGAGAGGAGGACTGAAGATCTAAAGCAGGCTCTGCACTGAAAGCAGCAAGCCCTATGTGGGGCTCAAACCCACCAACTGCGAGATCATGACCTGTGCCGAGGTTGGACGCTCAACCACTGAGCCACCCAGGCTCCCCAGCTCTTTGAATTTTATTATGCCTCAGTTTATCTTATAATGGTTCTAAACTGAATTCATCATTCCCCTTGCCCTAAACTAACCTATCTATTGTACTTTCTATTTCACTTGGAGGTATCATTCTCCCAGTCATCCCAGTCACTAGGGAATTATTCTTGGTCCTCCTCTCTGGTGGGGTTCAGGACACACTACCAAAATATGACACACAAGCATATTGAATATTTTAAGCTGAAGGATTTTGAGCAAGGGTAGGTGCAAGGAGGGGCCCACTGACCTCCCCCAAACAAGTCTTAAGATCATCATGTGAGAGGTGCTCTGCTTTCACCAAGAGGAGACATTTGTTACATCTGCAGACAGATGGGTGCCATGTGAGCCAGACAAATGCCATCTTGGATAAATCCACAGTGACTATCTCTCTGGGACCTGAAGCATTCTCCAAAATAGCTGTTCCCCTCCCACACTTTCTTTTGTCCAAACATACTATTAAGTACATCCTTGGAGCATAACATCCTTAACCTTCCCTGGAGATATGACTATGACACAACTATTCTCAAACATTTCCTCCTGTGTGTGTGTGGCGGGGGTGTCTCCCAGATTGTATTCCCCAGCCTCTAGGGCTAAAAAAGCAGGTCTTATGAGAGATAGGGCCACAGAGATCTATTCATCCCCTTAGTAAAACATTTCTGTTAGGGGTGCCTGGGTAACTCAGTTGGTAAAGTGTCTGACTCTTGATTTTGGCTCAGCTCATGATCTCAGAGTTTGTGGGATCAAGATCTGCGTTGGGCTCTGCACTGACAAGAGGACTCTGAACTGACAGTGCAAAGACTGCTTGGGATTCTCTCTCTGCCCCTCGCCAGCCTGTGTGTGCTCTCTCTCTCCCTCTCTCTCTTTCTCAAGATAAATAAGTAAATATTAAAAAACCATATTTCTGTCAAGCTGGATTTA